TTGCTAATTTGGTTATGTAAAGTTGTCAGCTCCCAGATGCTACTTCCACAAAAATACAGACAATTGTGTGGGCATCTTCCATGCTGCCTTATCCTGTACCTTACTGTAAGGCCTCCATACCATCTGCTACCGTCCAAATATAATCTCAGCATACAAGCAGGGTTATGTGGGAGAAGGTGGTCCTTCCTGTATCCAGATCACAAGCAGTGGAAACCATTTCCTTGTCTTTTATTAATCCTTACATGTAGCCAGTGCTTTTTTTCTGGGGGGATGCAGGGGTACGTGTACCCCTAAACATTTTGTGAATCTAACGGGAGAAGAAACTAAAAAAAAAAGTTTCTTCTCTAGCACGGTGAATCGTCAGTTCCATTGCTACCCCCGATGGTGGCCTCATTTCCTGTCACGGTGTTTCCTGAGTCTCAGACGAAAGCGAGCGTTTAATGCGTGAAGCAGGGGTTGGAATCTAGCACACTGATTGGTCAGTTTTGTTGTTACCACCTCTGATGGTGGCTTCATTTCCTTTCCTGGTGTTTCCCGAGTCTCAGATGGAAGCGAGCTTTTAGTGTGTGAAGCAGTGTGGAATGTTGATGTGTGGTTTACTGATGAAAGTTTGGCCTCATTGTGGAAGTTACTGTGAGCTGTCAGCTGTGTAATATGAGGTAATGCATGTTCTTAGTACTTTTGTCCATTTACTGTATTTATTTTTCCCGATTTGAACTATAAAATGGTGATTTTCTTGAGTCAAAATGAGAGTACAGTGGTACCTTGGGTTAAGAACTTAATTCTTTCTGGAGGTCTGTTCTTAACCTGAAACTGTTCTTAACCTGAGATACCACTTTAGCTAATGGGGCCTCCTGCTGCCGCCATCGCGCGATTTCTGTTCTTATCCTGAAGCAAAGTTCTTAACCTGAGGTACTATTTCTGGGTTAGCAGAGTCTGTAACCTGAAGCGTCTGTAACCCGAGGTACCACTGTACCCCTAAACATTTTTTTATTTTAAAATCACTGCATGTAGCCCATGAGTTAGGTCGCCATTGCTTCCATTTTACAGATAAGCAAATCCAGGAGTTGGATGCAGCAAGGGAGGTTGGCTCAAGGAAACATGCAGTTGCATACAGAGATTTTCTATGGACACAGATAGACAATGTTCATTCAGGTCCCATGGAATTGTCTGGATGTAGCTGTCAATGCGAATGAGTATACTTGCTGTATGTGGCTGGAGCCAGTGATATGGCAAAGGCCACCAACGTCTCATAAGGATGAACAGAGACTGGAACACAGGCTGCCAATGTGAAAAACAGCAATACCCAGCTGTCAACCCAACAAACTGCACACTGCATATGTCAGCCAGACACTATTTTGGCTAACAATGTAGTTGCATGATCAGCCATGCCAGTTAAGAAAAGTACTGATGCTTCAAATATTACATGTGCTGAGATAGTTTAATATTTGCAGGTGGAAGCTATCCCCTGCTCTTCTTTTGCTCAGATGGCATTGCAATAGCCTTTGGTATCATATGCACTTAACCCTGACAGATGGAAGCTTTCAAAATAGACACAAATCCTCATGGGAGAATTCCATAATGATTGCATTGCTAAGCCTGAGGAAGGCAGGCCAAGTCTGCAGCAGACTAGGTCAGGCCCAGCACCACCACACAGCATGTTTGGGGCAAATACTGGGGACCACAGCAGAGTATTACTTGTGAGTGGGTCCATGCTGGTGGTTATACCTGGAGGAGGATATTGCTGCAGAGTATTTCATTGCATTTTGTGTGGTTTTCAGCTTGTGCGTTTGGAGAAGTAAGTTTCCATTGTTGCGATGTAACCAAGGAAGTCATAGTGGGAGTGGGACGACATCTGTCAATCTGTTTTGAGGGATTCTCTCAAGCCTCCTAAGCAGATTGAGGGAAGGTGTGGAGAGAGAAGTAGGAAGGGGAAATGGCTAGGCTCAGACGGAGGCGGTAGCTACTCATAAAAAAATCATTCACTGTAAAAACAAAGAAACCTACCATCTGCAATCAGAGCGGTGTGTTTGTTTTTGGTGGCAGGAGAGAAATAGGAATAAACACATTGGCACCATTCTTGAAGAATGTAGCTAAATCAACAAATCAGCAAGCCAGGTTGACACCTGGGAATATGATTCATGTTCTCACAAGCTCACTGATACTCCCACCACCTACACATCTTTAGTATCAGGCAAACTATGGCACAGAAAAAATGAGCAGCAGGTAGTGCTGCTGAGGCTTTCTAAGAGGAAATGAATTATATATGCACTAATGTGCTGCAATGAGAATAATGCTCCTTGTCACTTTAAAAAGTGGCCCATTTGTAATACCAGCTGGGGAACAGTGAGTGAATAATAAGCAGACAACCCACTTCACTGTCTTCCTTGGATCAGAAAGCAAAAAGAATAATCTTTTCCTTCCTGCTTACTCACACAGGTGAGAAAAGCAGTGCAACATGGTCAGCCTTATTAAAATAGTGGCTACGCACATGTCCATTTCACTTTCTACCCATTTGTTTTTCTACATGACACCCAATGTAAGCTTTTAGTAAGATTGAACTGGCTGAGAATATTAAATAGGGCAAATATAGCAGCAACTGGGCTTTGTTCTCCACACAGGACAAGTACAGTGGTACCTTGGGTTACATACGCTTCAGGTTACATACACTTCAGGTTAGAGACTCCGCTAACCCAGAAATAGTACCTCGGGTTAAGAACTTTGCTTCAGGATGAGAACAGAAATTGCACGGCGGTGGCGCAGGAGCAGTGGGAGGCCCCATTAGCTAAAGTGGTGCTTCAGGTTAAGAACAGTTTCAGGTTAAGAATGGACCTCCGGAACGAATTAAGTACCGTACGTAACCAGAGGTACCACTGTATTTAAGGTTTTGGTTTTCAACCATCATAATTTCTAGGATATCTGACACTAAATTTGTGGACAGTGGTGTAGCATCAAATACAAAGGCCCATTAACCCTCACCGATCATTAAATGGTAAAAAGCACATCCTACTAACTTGTTGGCATCCTGTACTTAGCTGTGCTTCTGGATGCCACACTTTAAGAAGTATATAAACTGTTCCAAAGAGGGCAGTAAAGGTGGTCAGCAGTATGGAAAACAAGTCCTATGATGAAAAGTTGAAGGAAATGGGCATGTTCAGCCAGGAGGAAAGAAAACTGAGGTGGGACTCTCCAAATAGGAAGTCTGTCTCATAGAAGAGGCAAGGACTTGCTCTCAACTTTCCCAGAAGACAGGCCTAGATATAATGGTCTTAAATTACGGGAGGATAAATTTCTGTTGAACTTTAGTAAATGTTGATTCTTAGCAAAGTGTGTGGTTAGTGTGTTCAACTAGGACCTGGGCAGACCAGGGTTCAAATGCCAACTCAGCCATGAAACTCAATGAATGACTGTGCACCAGGTTCTGTTTCTCTGCTGAATGTGCCTCATCGGGTGGTTTTGAGGATAAGATGCGGAGGGAGAAAAATCTGTATCCTGTGAAATGATCTAAAATAATATAAATGGAGGCAATATGGCGCGGGCCATGGCACAGCAGAGCTTCTGAAGGTAGCCAGCATTAACTGCATCGCCTGGCAGGCTCCCGGGCCACCAGGATTGCTGCCGCTAACGCCATCACCGGGGTTGAACCGGGGGCACCCAGCGGGTCAACCGGGGGAGCCGCCAAACACTCCCCCAGCGATACTCATCGAGCCAAGGCTGAGAACACCCGCCCATGAGCCGGTGGTGCTCTGGGGCCTGGAGGCCCAAGGAGCCAGCAGAAAAAGAAGAAAAAAGGAAAGAAAAAGGAGCCCCGACCTCTCCAGCTTACTGTCATTGCTGCTGCCGCCAACGCAAAGGGAGAACAGAGGTAGGAGAGCATTGGGAGGGCCAGCGAGGCCGCGAAAAACCATGCAGTCAAGCCCAGGCCCGACCTAAGCCTACCTCCACAGTGGCTAACGTGCCTAGAGCAGGCTGGACCCAGAGGGAAGCAGCGCAACGGAAGACTCCCTGCAAGAAAAGAGAACGCAGCTTAACACCATCCAAAAAACCCTATTTTTATTTTTTAGGTCGTCCGTCCCCCCCCAGTATTTTTCATTTTTTCCAATTTAAAAAACAAAACAAAAACAAAACACATTTCTCCCTCCTCCCCATTTTCAAATATTTTCCTTTTTAAGGGACTGCAGTGCTGTTGCAACCACCTTTTACTCATATTTTTACTTTTTAAATCCCAATTCCTCCCCCCCTTTCTTAAATAATAATGATAAATTCATTAATAAATCTCTTTCCTCCCCTTCTCCTTAAAATAATATAATTAAGTTTTAAAATACCCCAGTAAAAGAGCATGGAATATACCCACGCCAAATGTTTATCAAATCATTAAAGAGTCTGTGCAGTGACACCACCCTGTCATTAACTCCCAGAACTGCAGAGGCAATTTTCTATGAAGTTTGCACCTGTAGCACCTGGAGTGGAGCTTTTTGATTTCTACATATTTTTGCCATGATTGCAGAATTATTTTAGCCAATGGCCCAAGTTCAAATTAGCATCGAAATCAGAAAACCATTCAGTCCTGCTGTTTACGCTAATAAATGTCCAGAGATTAGCTGCACATTATCGTTTGTAAAAATAATAATAGTAATAAAAGGAATCAGGCACAGCATTTTTGAGTTTTACATCATTTATGGAAGAATCACTTTAATTACTCCATGGGGCTGCTACACTGGTTATTAGACTTGCTAATAAGCAGCAGGCTACGTTCTCCCACCAGGGGACTGTCAATCAAAGCCGTCGCAGGTATATAGCAATGAGAGGGTCTGGCTAGAACCACATGTACTGTATCAAGGCTTTTCGCAGAGGTTTTGTATTACTTACAGAATGGTAGATTTTCCTCACCCACAGAGGGCTTAAAGGAGACAGAACGGCGCAAGGAGGATTTACCTCCCATTGGCGTGCATCATCAACAATAGCAGAGGCTTTGGTGGACAGAATCTGCCTTCAGCACCATGAACAGTTCCCTGGCTTTACCAATCCATTATGCAGGAGGCTATGAGCCCCAGGATTCCAAGGAGTGGAAGGTGGTGATCCCAGCCTTCTTAGGGGTGATCTGCCTGGCTGGCTTTGCAGGGAATGTGTGTGTCATTGGGATCCTACTGTACAACTCCAAGAAAGGGAAGCCGTCCATGATCCACTCCTTGATCCTCAACCTCAGCCTGGCAGACCTTCTCCTCGTCCTCTTTGTTGTGCCCTTCAGGGCAGCGGCTTACTCCAGAGGAGCCTGGTACCTGGGGTGGTTTCTTTGCAAAACCTCCGACTGGTTCCGACACGCTTGCATGACAGCCAAGAGCTTGACCATCGCTGTGGTTGCCAAGACTTGCTTCATGTATGCAAATAACCCGGCTAAGCAGGTGAGCATCAAATGGCACACCATCTGCGTTGTGCTGCTGGCGATTTGGCTGCTGGCCTTGGGAATCCCGCTGCCTTTGTGGTTCTTCAGCAGCCTCTGGGAGCCAGAGGTAGGCTCTGCTTTGTGCATCGTGATCATTCCAGCCCATGCTCACGAGTTTATGTCAGCCTTTGTCAAGCTTTATCCCCTCCTGGTCTTTTGCACCCCCCTCACTTTTGCTTTCTTTTATTTCTGGAGAGCTTATGGCAGATGCCAGCGGAGGGGTACCAAGACTCAGAACCTGAGGAACCAGATCAGATCCAGGTGCCTGACTATGATGCTTCTGAGTGTTACTGTCACCTCTGCCGTGATGTGGCTTCCTGACTGGATATCTTGGCTGTGGGTCTGGCACCTGAAGAAGGGTGGGCCTGCTCCCCCACAAGGATTCATGGCCACTACCCAGGTCCTGATGTTTGCCATCTCTTCGGCCAACCCTCTCATCTTTGTACTGATGTCAGAAGAGTTCAGGGAGGGTTTCAAAGGCTTGTGGAAAAGGCTTACGCTGAAGAAACCGCTTCCTGCCCCAGAAGATCAGGAGGAAACAGTGGTTGACAACACGGAGGAAGCCCCAGATTCTGTTCCTTCTCCAGAGGTAGTGACTCCTGATGAAGAAAAAGAGCCCCCCTCCGTCCCTCAAACCTCAGAAAGCATGGAAATCAAGAAGGAGATGCCCATTTTGCCAGATGTTGAACAATTCTGGCACGACAGGGAAGCAGTCCCTGATGCTCAAGACAATGACCCTATTCCTTGGGAACATGAAGGGCAAGAGACAGTAGGTTGTGATCAACAGAACTGAAGTTAGAAAGCTGATATATATATATATATAATCATAATTTTGTTGCTTACTTGGAGTAATGCTGAACTGGGTATACTACTTTAGTTTTACACCTTTGCATGTGTGCTTGGGACTTATCGACGTCTTCAGAATTAATGTAATGAACAAATGCAACTGTCAGTTAATCATTCCAGTTATTCTGCTCTGAGATTTTTATTTCTCATTTTACTTAAAATGCATGTCTTGTACTTTCAGATGGTGATTTCAGTTAAAATTTCAGGAAGGAAAAAATAGTAATTTGGTTACATTTGCAAAGTAATTTTGCATCAAGAAGTGAGCTGAAATTGCATGAGATGACTATAAAACAGAAGGGCTTTGTGCTTATTTATAATACATACTCTGTATATAGGTTTTGTAGGCACGCTTTGGGGTGAACAATTATGGCTTTGAACAGGTTTTGACCAATTCAAAAAGAAGGGCAGAGCAAAAGGTGTAATTTGGTTTTAACTAATGAAGCAGTATGCATGACAGGTTCTCTCATTATTACACTTAATATGTATTAAACATGCTCAAAGAAAATGTGGCTCATGTTTTTCTGCTAACCGATCAGCCTTCTTAATGGGCTTGCCACTTCACACGAATAACAGAAATTAGCTTTATAGTCTAAGTATAGTGTTCCAAACCAGGTGTGTAGAAATCTTCCATTCCACTGTATAGTCATTTAGCAATTAATATAACATTTGTATTTGGCAGCAAGGCAAGTTTTGAACAAGAGCCACTTACATCAAATGCACCAGGACCTTATTATGCAACCGGTATATATATTTTTCCAAAGCTTACATCATTTATATATTACTTTATCTCTCAATTGTAGATACAGTTGCATGTTTCATCTTCATATGAGGACTCACTCGCTCTCATTTAAAATACTGTTTTTGAAAAGAGCAAGTGAGTTACTGATTGAGTTCTATCATCAGGTGTGGCTCATATCCACAGTTCTGGAAATACAATTTTTGTATATGCAGGACAGGATTAGTCTTATTTCAGTGCAAGGCAACATGCATTAACCATCACATAGCAATACTGTTCACAACTGCTGAAGCACATTTGTATATGAAAGGAAAAACTGGCTCCAGCAAACTAGCTTTTAAAACGTAAGTGCTATTCATCCTTATAGGTTTTCTGAGTGCTTAAAGGTGGAACTGTACATACATACATAAAAAGTTCAGGGGATTAAAGTTACAGTTCAGATCTTGCAGCTATTCGATGCCGATGTATTGATGACATTTTAATTGGTACACATCCCTCTGAAACGAACAGGGACACAACAACTGTTCCTGGAAACATTTTAAATGCATAGAACTGTTAACAGGACTGGCCAAAGACATTTCTGTTGCCTCTAGTGGCTACTACACTGTGAGATTCAATGTGTTTGCCTTAGGCTGCATTAATAGAACTGAGGGCATTGGGGAGTAACAATGTATATTGTGGATAAAATCCAGTGCTGCCTTTTCTGCTAGCAGAACAGATGTTGATCCAGGGGAGAGGGTCTTTTACCATACAACGAAAAAGTATTTTCACTGCTTCCCCTTTCCTCCTGCGGCTTCCTGAAAGTCTGTTCAGGAAGTTGGCAGGTCCTCCAGAAAAGTGTTAGGTGGCAAAGCAGGCTGAGTGGGAAGTGGCAGGAATCACCTCCCCCTTTTACATTAGCAGATTATTCCACTGGATCAAAACCTGGAAAAGCAACACTGTGTTTTGCCAAATAAGAGTTGTGCTTCTGTGACATTGCAAAATATCCTGAGATGCAGCTCTTGGATCACGTGCTACTGTATTTTTGCTTGTAAAAAAATTGCCAACCCGAAGAACTACTTAGATTATGTGTGGTTAAACATGCCAGTTTCAATAAACTTCCAAGTCGTTTGGGTATCCATAAGTGCATGTTTTTTCACTTGGTTGTGTACAGAGCATTGTATCTTTCATCACTACACTTAGTTTGATTGCAACTGCATTGGCTACTGTTTGTGCAATAAGACGTTGGGTGTGCAGATTGCTCCTGCTGCACCAGGCTCACCTTATTGAGGTAGTAACTATATTTGATGCAACCACAAAAGCAAGCTGTGTTTTTTTTGTTTTTCCCCCTCCTCAGCAGGCAAGTTTATAAAGACAAGTCTTTACCAAAGACATGGTTTATATTGCGTACCTTACCAGCACCGTAGAAATAGACAAAAAATTAAAATGTACTATAATACTGAAAAGGAATACTAGTATAATACTTTGCATCTGTAGGATGTCTCTGGAATTATACAGGAGAAATATTCCACCAGTCATATGTTGATCCGAGTTCTTTCATTGAAATGGTCTGCAAGCAATAGGGGGCGAAGGGTGTTTGTAAATGCATATACAACCTATGACATCACCATAATTTTCCATTCATGGCGAGTATCATAAATGATCCGGCAACTCTAAAGAGAAAACAGCCTTGCAGAACTCACTTTACTTTCATTAATGAGGAAATGTGGACATACTTATGCATTTTTAAAAGAAGCATTTGCGGCTAAAGTGCTCTGTGGTACTTAGAAATAAAAGCTATACTTTATTTTTACCTTGAAATTCAACAAAATATAGATGCTGTTAGTATTTTATGCAGCACTAAGGCTATTTACTCCCACACCCCTCCCCCAAAAGCACTGGAATTGGACAGTCAAATCTAGTTGGACAGTAATCATTCCCTCAGATTTCAAGCTAGACCTGTCAATCACAAGAGCTTTCCCATTTCTCTTGGTGCTTTACCTTTTTCTCAAACCACCCTGCCATTTTTGTTATAAGGTAAGCTTTAGAGACATGTTCTCTACAGCATTTGTTGGGCGTTCAAATCACCAAACTTTGGGGGTGGGATTCTTGTCTTGAGGCATCTCATACATACTGCTTCACCTTGGACAAGCCCAGAATTCTTCTAAAGCAATTTATATTAGCTTGGGAATCCCCTGAATCCACTACAAACTCTTAGCAAGCACTATCCTTTGATATAATCCCTCAAAAATTAAAAAATAATCCCCCCCATTATGGTGCCCATGCTCTGGCATTTTGACTACTTTAAACGTGTAGGTGATTTTTCCAAAAAATCCCATGCCTATTTGTATGATTTCCATATTGCCTGACTCATCAAATAAACACTTAGGATGTGATCCTATGATTGCTGTGGAAGTCCAGGAATGTTAGCCCTCATAAGTCTTCCCACTGTGGGTGTGGCAACATCTGCCATCAAATTATGCCAGCCTTGGAAGTAATATACTTACTTTCCTTCCCACTGCGCAAAAAAACCTAGAAATGAAAGAAGAAAAAAACACCTATCTATCTGCAAAGGGGAGGAGGGAATAGAAAAATGTGCCACCATCTTATACCCTGCTAGGGGCATGGATATGGTATTTCCTTTGTTTCAGATTCTCCCTCCTCCACTCTGCCCAAATGTAATGAGCCATTTACTAAGCATGTACAATCCATATATAAAAAGGGTTGGTTTATTGTCGTTCAAATACGTAAACTGAACAATCCCAACATTTCAAAATTAAACTTTAGAAACACAAGTTTAACATTCAAAACAGGAATATAGTTTACAAGAAATACCCAGAAGGGAACTTCATATTCTAATCCAGAAGTTGGTAGAGATCACTTTATGGTAAATAAAAGTGTATTTGTACAACCGTGCTATCCTGGGGAACACACTTTTTCCTGTGCATTTCCAATTTACAGCAAAAACATTACCGACTACTGGGCAAAGCAACTTGATTGTGCCTACTGGGGAGGACAAGGAGAGGGGGGAATCAAAGCAGGCCTGTGAACAAGATCAAATGGTGTTTATTCAATTTGGTCACTGCAAGGCTCATTCTCCTCTCATGCTGGATCTGACGTTAATGGGGTTAGTCCTGATTTATATACAGGAAAGGCCACGCATGAGTAGAGAATTAGGCCCTATATTTTCAGGTTCATGAAGGGGCATAATCTTACTGCGGTCTTCAGCAGTCAATAGTTTAATCATAAGAATGCCTGACCTTGGCTCTCCCATTAGGATATCTGCAGTATTTTTTGCCGTTCTTAACTTCAAACCACAAATATCAATCATCCCAAGGCTTTCACATGTAACGCTGCCAAGAACGCTTCAAAATGCTACCAACATTCACACCTTGTACACAGATATCGCATTGTTCTAGGACCTAAAAATCACTGGAAATAGCTGCATGGTTAGAATATTTGTCAGTCATGCGACAAAGAGAAAAAGCATCGATAATGCAAATGTTCTCTCTGCATAGAGACTGCTTTATGTTCACAAATGTTGCTTTTCTCTCTGCTCCTTGGATGGTTTTTGCAATAGGTTCATGGTAATGTATACGATTAAACCTGACAGATGGCTCATGCAATCTTCTTGACTTAACAGATATTCTTGTTCAAGAGTTATGTCACAATTATTTTGTTGTTCGTCTTGTAGGCTCTGAAGCTGTGGGAGGAGGCGGGGGACCTCTGCGATCTAAGTCATCTACATAGGACACAATGAGTTTGCGTCTCTCCTCCGGCACACAGTCAAGTACCAGATAACGTTTGTCATTCTGTAATATCTTTTCGATATCCTTCAGGTGCTGGTCAGATTCCTGGATCAGCTTTTTGGATCTGCAATTAAGTGTAAGGGTCATCATTACCATTGGATGACTGGGTGCACCGCAAAAATGAACTGGAATCTTGGTGAAGATGCTAGTGGACAGGTGTCCCAGTAACAATTCCACCCACCAAAATCAATCTCTCTTGACATTGCAATCAGGTAGGCCAAATGCTCAAAAGGACACAGAGACTGGGCTATCCTCTCACCTATAAGGTTGCCCCTTCAGGTCAGGGGTGAGGCAAAATGGCAGGGATGTGTGAATGTAAAAAATCTTGCACTGCCACTGCCTGTGCTGTATCTGTTCTGCAGGTAAACAGAAGACTTCAGTCTCAAGGGCTGCCAGTACCTTTTAAAATCAGCACTAATTAAACTATAAAAATGTAAAATAAGAAAAATGAGCACATTTCAAATTAAACACTGCAGTTGAAGAACACCTGTAGAAAATGGATGCCAATATCCCAGTTGTACTCCAGACCAACCGGAGATAAATATGATTATTTACATTCATTTGAGACAGTGCTTTATTTCAATGACAACAATAGCAATGATCAAGTATAAGAGAAGAAGCCTGAGTGGGGAGCTCATGCCATCAGTTTTTGAATAAAGCACCACTGGCCTACAAGAACTGTTGTTGCCAGTCCTTTCTTCACCTTCCTGGGGCTACTTAAAGAACCAAGAAGGAAAGGAATAAGAGAATCCCAGCCTACAAAGCTAAGTTCCTCAAGTAGAGATCAGCAGAGATCACTAACAGCTGAAGGCAAATCTGCTATTTTGTTAGTTTGCAACTTTTTTGTTTTAATAGTTAACATTTCTGAAACTGCACTGAACACTTTAGCATACAGATGGTATATAAACAATGTAAATTGTTAAATAGATACTTTGCAAAAGGACTAACTAAAAAGAAAAGTACACAACCTACTGGGGTCAAGTTATCCTTAGTAAATGGATAGAATTATCCATGGGTAAGGGGACTGCTGTTAACTAAACAATCAGTGGCTAGGAGCAGAAAGAGTGCTTTCTCATCAGCTCTCCCATAGGGGCTAGAGTAGCCTTTGCCAACCTGATACCCTCCAAATGATTTGGATGACAACTTGCCGCAGCTCCAGCCAACGTGCTGGTAGGATGCTGTGAGCATGGCTGTTGGCTGGGGCTGATGAGAGCAGTAGTCCTAAACATCTGGAGGACACCAGGTTGGCAGAGGCTAACTGAGCTCAGCAACTCTTCATAATGCAGCAGCACAATGTAGAAGGAGTTGTGCTACACTGTAACAAATAGTGAATGATGATAATACAGGTTGTAGTATATAAACATTGTGGATCACAAAATGGTTTTGAGGAAGAGCTTGCACAAAACGAGAGGAACTCTTCTGGACTTGGGGCAACTTTCTTCATGCAACACTCTTCTGCTAGGTCAGAAACAACCCTTATGGGAGTGGACGAACAGCTCTGTATCCAACCCAATCTGTTCACACTGCTAAGTAAAAATTCAGAACTAGGGTTTTCTAGAGCAGGCCACATATTTTATAAAATATACATCTCTAAATATTTGTGTACATAAAAATTAGCTTGGCACAGATACTCAATTTGAACAGCATCATCCCAGAAATCCAAATCCATGATTTAGAATACTTTCAAATTCATGGAAAGAACTGATGGCAATCCATTTTTTCCCTGTTTAAAAAACTGCTAAAGCTAACCAGATATTCGACATAAATATTAAAAGGTTGAAGAACCATCTCTGTGTTGCTTTTGAATACACACCTGTATGTTATAAATTTGGTCTCTTTCAAAAGTGTTCTGAAATCCGCTTTGGCTGTAATATATTTGTCTCTGATGTACTCTTCAAACTCTCTTTGCTTTTTCTGCATGAAAAGAAAGAAGCAAATTTGGACATTGCATCTCCATTACAACATAGATCTCCTAATGTCTGTTAGGGGCTGCTGAACAAAATATATGAGGGAGGAAATTGCTGTTGGTTTTAACATCACATGGGTAGTCTAGAATGACCACTGTAAGGCTTCTTACCCTGTCACTGGAGGAGAATTTAATACACCTGGGATCTTCTTTAATTATTTTCTTTACTTCTTTCCATGTTGACGTTAAGGTAATCTTTTGAAATAGAAAAATAGAAATATTACAGGCTGGGGCAAGAAATTCAAACATGCAATATACTAAGCTGCAATTTTTGCAAAGGATGGTCTCTGACTTAACATGTTATAACCATAATCAGAGAAAATCACCCAAAAGTAGAAGAGGCTGCTGCAAAGAAGCAAAAGACCTTCTATTCAGCAGATGTCCAGGGGGAAGGATTCACTCTCTTACAAACAGCCTATACTACTGCTGCACAACACAGGAAGTGGGATGCCCTTTAATTGTGCTCAAATGTTAAGTGAGGGGAAGGAGATATAAAGGTGCTGACTGGCAGTTTTGGTCTATTGTTACACTGTTTTAACTTCTGAACTCAATGCTACTTTTAAACAAGATTTGCAAAATACAATAAGTTGAGAGACTGAAGTCATTTAAATAGTGAGATGTTTAACTTGGTAGACTATAAATCAATACATGCTCCTAAATTGTTAACATTTATTCATGTAGGATTAAACCTATTCCCTGCCCCACCAATAAACATTTTCATATGTATCTAAGATCTGCTACCAACCATCAGACTTTGTCAAAAGGAATCAGATAAACGTTTGCAAATCTCTCTCCACCCGCTCAACATAGCTCAGATCTAGAAACAGGGGCACAACATAACAGTGGGCTGGAACAGACTACTTTTTAATTCAGCAAATACACATTTAGTTCTAAGATTTGCTAGGCAGAAGTCAGTGGAAAATGAAACGACAGTAGAAAATACCAATTTATTCTCAATAATATTTTGTAGTAAGATATAAAACACACATAAAACTATGTTAGAAAAACCCAAGAAAAATTGCAGAGCATCTGCTTACTGATGAAGTTTCATCTAGAAGTTGACGAAAATGCTCTTTCTTTTTCTTTGTAAGTGCCTCAATGTGTTCGTTAAATAGTTTTTCCTTCTCTTCTCTTTCCAGAAGGGAGCCAGATTCCCACCGATGATCTTTCCGAAGTGTCCTCCTAGTATCGGACCATGACACATCTGAAGATCGCACCTAATGGAAGGAATAATTTCAATCACTATACAGCTTGTTAAAATATATACTTCAAAAACTTTAGTTAATTTGCATTATTACTATTATTGCTCCATTTATTACTTGCCCTTCACTAGAAAGTCCCTGGATGGGTTACAGGAATATTAAAATACAGCATTAAAAACAGTTTAAAACCAATTACAGTCACAACTAGACCGGGTCGTAAAAATATGTGTCAAGTGTCAAAGTAATTCTCCATTACTTTGGTATAAATACACCTACCAAAGAGGGAGAAATATGTCTGCATTAATGTAAAAATCTTCCCAAGGTGGTCTATTTTGCTATGTGGGTGCCCCCCCCAAAAAAATAAGAAGTATGGATTTTGGCTATGCTGAAGACAATACTTATACCTGCAAGTTTCATGGAAACATTGAGCATTATCCAACTAAGTCATACTCAAGAGTAGCCCCACACACAAATAAGAAAAAAGTAAAGTAAAAAAGAGTATTTGAAAGTAGAAGAACTTAGCTTAAAGAAAGATCAGTGAGAGCCAGGGGGAAACGATCTGATCCATCAGGCAGGAGAGAAAAAAATGAGGAGACTGTGCCTGCCTCCCAGAGTTCTTTGCTCTCCTGCCTCCGTCACATGATGAGGAATAATACCCAACCCATTTGGGTCATCAGCAACTGCCTCAAATATAGAAGGGCTTAAGTTACTGAATCCCCCTGATTTCAGCAGAGTATAACTAGCAGTGGATATCACACATTACTTTGAACAAATGAGCTGGAGTCCTTGATTTAAAAATACTGATTGGTTATCTACATAGATACAGGGGGAACAGTGACCCACCCCCCATTATACAAAATATACAAACATACATACAGCCCCAAATTACTTCAAAGCAAAGAGAAATTAAGATATCATTGTGGTCTAAAGTATCTCCATGTATTTCCCATATGTTACAGACCATCAATGTCACATTCTCTTTGTTATTATTATTCATTGTGAGGGAAGCAGGATTGGTTTTTTGCTATGCAACACTCCCTTTCCTTATCATGCTTCCTGACTTTTGCTACCATTGGCTATTTCTTGGAAGAATTCTACAAGTGATTTAACAGTCAAACCGTCTTCCCAGGGAACTCTGGAAACTGTAGCTCTGTGAGGGGACTAGGGGTCTCCTATTGACTCTCAACATCCTTAACAAACTGCAGTTCTCAGAATTTTGGGGGGAAGCCATGACTGGTTAAAGTGGGGGGGAAGTCATGACTGTAAAATGGAGATGGAGCCCTAGTCATGTTCATTAATGTCCTTGAGTAGCTAAGCAAAACCTAGTTGAATACCACCCAATTATTACACTGGCCAATGGAAAAAAGGGGGAAAGGAAAGATGGATAATTTAGCTCTTCTGAAATCATAGGACTTTAGGGAAGGCATCTATACTCACACCAGTCTCTTATGGGGTTAAAATCAACAGGAAACAATTTAATGTGTTCTCTATACACAAGTGCATACCTGACCTTGTTAATTTCAACACACAGGAACCTCACCATATCAGATAGGAGAGCTTTGAAATTCTGGATGGCCTCTTCTCGTTTGTGCTGCTCTCGTTCTCTATCAATCTCCTTTGTCTGTTCAGAGCGAGCTTTCTGAACTTCTCTCTCTCGTTCACGCAAGCTTGCTTCAATGCGAGCCTGTCTTTCCAGTTCTTTTTCTTTTTCAGAGTCCACATTCTGAAATGGAAGCCAAAATACACATTACATTCTGCTTAGACTAGCTACGAATTTTAACACAAAAAGAACTCAAGAAAAAAAATCTGATAAAAGCAAATTAATGCAGCTAGTTAAAAATCCATTAAACTGCTGCCGCTAGTGTAAGGTTTCAATTAATTTTTTTAAGAATGTTTGTTAACTATAGTTCTCACAGCTCCGATGGGCTATACAAATGAAAGACACTGAGTTGTATCCAACTGGTATCACTCCATTAATGAAGTGGAATCAAAGCAATTCCTCTTCAGCAGCACCCCACCCCCTCCCATGATATTACAAGGGTTCCTTAATTCTGTACAGCATATGGGGAAAGGGGGGAGAATTCCTAACCATCGTCTTAAAATCTGTTATGTGGCTGGAAGGCTCTGCTGGATCAAAGAACCTTTCATCAGTGGAGGGACACCAACCCAACCCACTGCATACTAAAAGATGTGATAAGACTACCTTCAAAATCAGAACCGCTGAGTGAAGAATAAATCAGGGCTAGGATTCAAGTAAGTGCATGACTAGTTCTGCGAGTTCAAGCCGACTCTGGTCTTGTACTGGCAAAACATCCCAAGGACTTTCAAAAAGGAGTGGCGAAAGTCCAACATTTCATTGGGCATAGTGAACTCATTTGGAATACCTAAAACATCCTCAGGGCCACCTTACTCCACTCCCTTCTCCTGCCTCCAAGAATTTGTTAGGAAAATAGGCTGGCTATTGGTCCAAAACTTCCCCTAATCCCTCTATATCACTCTGCAGAATCTTATGGACCCTAGGATGGTCTTCCTGATTGTGCTCTTGTTCTTTTTTATATATAATATATATCATGTGTCACCTCAAGAGAGTGTTTTATAAGGCAATATAAATAAATAAGTAAGTAAGTAAGTAAGTAAGTAAGAACCCCAATCTGAGACTATGGGGCAATTCCTACCACTGCTAAGAAAACTGATTTATGCTTGTGTGGGGTATTTCAAAGTCTATTGTCAATTGCTTCATCACTGAAATTCTACGAACATGGAAGCAGCGTCATTAGTAACACACGTACTTTGGCTATTTTTTCAATGTACTGCTTAAAAAGATCCTCCCTTTGTGAAGAGCTATCCACAGCTTTGTAACGAGGGTCAGTCTCTACTTTGTCCTTCACTTTGCTCCAGCGAGACTGACTGTCCAAGTGGTGATTAGATAACAGTTCAAAGAAGTCCATTTTGATCTGTATTTCAAAACATAAGACAAAAGGAAGAAAAAGGGAACAAAAGAAGTCACTTAGACTTCTGAATGCTTGCAGTGTAATTTAGAAATAAAAAGAAGCAGACTCACCGTACAGCAAAAACTATTTTAATTTAATAGATTCAAACTAGATGATTCCATTAAAATATTAAACTTTAAATTTAATCCACTGCCATTTTGAAAGAGAGATTTGATTATATATTAAAACATAACACAGAAGCCTTCAAAATGCAATGTGACTAATTCCTTTAAGGCTACTGCACAGTCATGAGAGTCTTAGGGCATTACCTAGAGAGGGTGCTTACACATGTCGAAGAGAACCATCTCAATAGTTAGGGCTTGCTTGAGAAGTTCCTACTACAGCAGCTCTAATCTGCTCTTCCACTTAAAGAATGTGCATTATATACACAACTGGTATTGCTCCTGCAGAAACTGCACAGGAAACCCAGAATGTAAATATGGGACTAGTCCTCATATTTACTGAAACTGCCCTCTACATGCATGGCAGGGAAACCCAAATGTGTAATGTGCACCGTAGGACATGTGTTCATTTGTGCAATCCTTCCACCTTAAGGAAGTGTGTGCATGCAGTCTAAGTCCACACCACTTATAACGAGAGCCTGCTTTGATAAGTAGTCCAGAGCTCTAGAACACGTGTGTATACTGTACTTTTGGATTCTAGCCATGGTATAATCCACTGAAGATTGTTGGTTCACAGAAGCAATGCTTGGTGGGCTACACCCTTAGATTTCTCATTGCACTTTTAAGTACCAACTCACTGAATTAAGGAATAGAATCATAGAATAAAGTATCAATATTTATATGTGAGCCTAAAAATGGGCACGTTAATGTTCCAAGGACACCATTGGTAGCAGCTAGCAATGGATAATGATTTCAAAACTTGGTATGAACAATTAAGTTTCATACAAAATAGTGAGAAGTTGTCCAAACACAGTTATCCGGCTAAATGTAAGCATAAATCATAATAGTAGAATTCAGTCTACAATGAAATGTTTCATGAAACAATTCTCCCTGCCATATAAACAAGTGCAGCAAAACATAAGCATTATTTTTCTCTTCTTCCTTCCCCCTCTCTCCCAAGTTATTTTTTTCTGTTGGCTTCCCTTGGAAATTCTGGAATTTTCTTAATTTTATGTATGACAGGGATGTCATTGCAGAGCCTTTGGTACTGTCACCTGGACGGGTAAAATCACGTAACTACAAGGCACAGTAGCACATCATAATCTGTTTGGATGAATCAACTTCTCATGTTGTTGTGGCAGTGAAAACCCACCTTTTCAGGAGTTGAGAAAGCATCAACAGTGGTTTGTGCATGTATGTGGGAGAAGTGGAGTGTCCTCCAGGTGGTGCTGCTGCACAGAGAGGTGGCAAGGCTGGAGCAACTCCAGGTTGGTGGCAGCTTCACAGATGCACTGCCAACCAGAGCTCTCCTGACCTTGTTCCCTCCCAGTTATTCTAGCACTGCCACCAGCACCTCGGCCCCATGCATGGCTGCTAGATAGTAAGAGTACAATTGCTGCAATCACATGGGAAGATGCTTCACACAAACAACTTATGCTCACCCGTAATCAGGCCTCTGACCATTAAGAAACATTTTACCAGGTATCTTATCTTTCTAAATGGCCAAGCCCTGCCAAGGGGCCAAGTTTATCGCTTTAAGAGCATTCACAGCTTCTTTCTGAGATTAGAGAGATCATAGTTATTTTAGCTCTAGAACAGATATTATTCCATTGTAAGACAGGCTATATTATAAATCTCAACTCCCACCCCGCATCCCCAAGTAATGCATGCAGAGGGTGTTACCTGCAACCCCAATGCAGTTAATGCATTATAGGACACCAAATCCCAATGACTTAAGTATGATTAACAGTGCAGCTTGATGCCTTATGCCTTACCAGCCAATTAAAACTTGCATTCTAGCTTCCTTCAATTATTAATTACTACATAAAAATAATGCTAATAGTCTGTAGCTCTCCCTCAACACTTATGTTTGGTTCTTGGCACAGTATTATGCAAGGACAATGAATTTTTTTAAGTCCAAAGGCAAATAAAATCATGAAAAGGCTGCACAACACTGTGTAGAGCATTTTTTCTCTCCGCCAATAGCAGATCTATCAGAGTAGTATTTAAGAAGATATTCAGCAACCTTATAGCTATTTTTTAATGGTATTTGTTATTCCAAAGTTGAACTTAAGCACAGCATGCAACTAGTATCAAAATAGAAAGCTTTCTAAGCCAGATATATGAAAACAACACTTACGAAATTAAAAACAAAATGTGTTTCTGTGGAAATCTTTAAAGTAAGGGTCATTGTACAGGCACACCTAATCAATTATTGCTATTTTTCTACTGTACACAAAGATAATCTTCAAGCCATAATTTAACTGGGATTCATTTAGAAGGCTTCAGAACATTACAACACAAAGAAGGTATAGTAACAAACCTGCCTGACATCTACACAGCATGCACCCATCTCTCCAGAAACCAGCAGCTGCCCTCCTTTTTCTAACATGAAGGCCAGCATGATCTTACCACCTAGTGCTGCAGGAACATACAGTATTCCAACTAAAGGCAACCCTTCCATGGACTTTTCTACCAAAACCAGCCAATCCATTCTCCTAATATTTTAATATAATTCTAGGGTTTAGGAAACATGCAGGTTTTCTGGTTTCATACAGTGGTGAGAAGACCACATTTTACTTGAAAACTGTCACCCTTCAGGAAAAGCAAAGTAGAAAATGAAAAGCGTAACTCCAAGATTATAGATACTAAATCCATAAATGCAGTAACAAAACTGTACCTGTCCCTCTATTCTGGCTTTGTTTTTATTTTAAAAAAAACATGGACATGGTAGCTGGGGTGTCGCTGAAGTTTTTCTAGTGAAAAGGAAGGGAGGCAGAATTGTTTAGTTATAAGGTACTGACCTGGCAACTTTCAGCTTAGTTAGACCTTACTGAGTGGAGCTATATAATACACTTCTGAAAGATGAAACTCCTCAGTTTAGTTGATGTGCCTTACATCTCTTCCTTAGTCATATTTCTAGTCCTAAGGGAACTGTGCTATCTTCTCTCTTTAATTTCACTAAACAAGTGAACCACAGAGTTGGAAGATGCCAAAACAAACAAAACCCAAATCACTTACTTTAAAGGTTTGTGGGAAATCACAAAATTATAGTATTAGAGATAGAGAACCTGAAGCCTTACAGATATTGTTTGACTCCAACGCCCATTACCCCCAGCCAGCAATGATAGGAATTGGAGTCCAACAAAATCTGGAGGGCCACAGGTTTCTCTGCCCCTGCATTAAACCTCTTTTTGGGAAGAGAAGAACTGGCTGAGAAAGCTTCACTTAACACTTTAAGCATATTTTAAATCAACTTTTATGTTTCTTGTGGAATCAAAAAAGCATGTATGGCTGAAAATACTTTGCTTTTATTTAGGAGGATTTTTCTCCTCTTTTTGCAGTTTACACATTCTGGGCACAACTCTCATCACTTCACAAGGAAAAAAACTGAAAAAAATGTAAAGTACCGGAACTGCGGGAGGCTAAAGTCACCACACAGAGATACCAATTCTTTCCTCACTAGGGAATCCCATAATACTTTGCGTGTCAGTGATTGACAGCTGTCAGACTGAACTGATTGACAGGCCGCACAGCACAAAACTGTAAAATCTATCCACTTGTTACAAAACAGAATACATAAAATGGTTACAAGAGGCTTTGGGAGAAAAGAAATAATTAGTTTCAGATGCAAAGATAAACACATTTATTTAACACAAAATCTTGTTTGATGTAACTCATGCAACATAAAAGAATTTACTTATTAACTATTCATTTTGATAATGGCTAAGATGCAACAATAATGTTTAAGCCATGATTATAGATTAAAACAAGTAGAGTGCAATTTAGGCTACTTCTAGGTTATACATGTTCACCTCTAGAAAGCTAATCATTCTGGTGCATATAGAGTTGATGTACCATAGAGTCTAAGGGCACAATCCTGTACATATCTATCAGAAGTTCCAATGAGTACAATGGGGCTCAATGTGAGGTAAGTGGGTAAAGGACTGCAGCCTATGAGACTGAGCAGTGCATCAAGTAGTAGCTGGGTTGAATCTCATGCCTAGTATGAGTGGCCTTATGTGAGTCACTCGCCTTTATTTTCAGTTCCCTAAGGGTTTCCGTCAAAGGCAAGTATGGGACAGATGCTTGCTCACACAATAGGGCAGCAGGGGGGAAGTGAAATACCCAATATGTGGGTGGAAGTCCGCTCGGACAATGTTGGATCCTACTCAAAGGATTTTCCGATTATTATTTTTTGCAATATTAGGATTTTTGCATTTCAGCTGTGACTGTTTTCCATTCCTATACGACAGGTAACTTTTGCCTGAAAGTTTTGCCTCTATCTATGCTACTTACTGAAAGGAAATTATATTAGCTTCACTTAAGGAGTATGTAAGGAAACAGAAATCCCAGAAATGATTAGGTTTCAAAGGTGTATGCTAGGACACTGAAGAAAGTTGCTGCATATTTTGATGCTAACGCTTGTTGAAGATACTTTGTAGCATCCACCTTCCCCAGTGATGTGCACTTTGTCTCTTGTATTGACAGTGCAGACAAATGACATTTGAAATTCATTAATCTTTCATAGGCGACCTTTAATTCTGATAAGTAGTCATGCTAAGATACATTTACTGGAAGATTAAAAAAACCACTGAAGTGTTAGCATTTTGAAATTTGCCCACAAACAGTTCTCAAACCTTGCTTGCATCCCTAACAGAATGGGTATGTAATGGTCTGCTTGGAGTTTTCCAGTCAGACATTTGTCCCCCCACCAAAAAAATATATATCTAGGATTTTAAAACCTAGATATGAATTTAGAAGAAAATTATAGTACATATTCTAGAACATTAAACTTATTCCAAATTTAGAAGAAAAAAAAGAGTAAAATGACCAACCCCACACCTCCAAATAAGATACAAATGCTTAAACTAGGGGGGGGGGGACAAAAGGAAAAAATAATTTGGGGGAGGGGGTGAAGGGCAAATCTAGAAGACTAGCATGGGCCCTTCCCCAATCCTCCCATTATGCTATTTTCACATCCTTGATATAAAAATCTTACCTTCTCTCCTCTGGTCTTCGAATCTTCTTTTTCCTTCTTTCTTGCTGCTGTGATAAACTCATTAAACAAGGCTTCCCGGTCTTTCATTTTTTCAATTGCTTTGAATCGTGAGTCTTTAGCATGCTTGGCTGCAAATTCACTAAAAGTAGTTCTGTAACAAAATGGCAAGTGTACTGATTTGGCAGGGCTTTCGTAGACGGAAAATATATTCAAAAGCACAACTGTGTTTTGGTTCTGTTGGACTACATACACTAGGCACCAATATATTGGTATCCTTGCCACCGTTGAAGGTCCAAGACATAACGTTTGTCTTTTTTCTTTTTTAGAAAGTTGACATGAACCAGCTAAAACTTTTTTTAAAAAAATTGCACACACTGAATGCAGTTCTTCACATATAACATAATCCTTGCAGAAGACAAATTCCATGGTCAATCTGTCCTGATACTTCATGATTATGCAATGTAAATTTAACAATGCTCTTTTGCCACCCAACACAGCCAGAAATAGAACTGGCATGGTACAAAAATTCAGATTCTTTAATACTGTGAGCAAGGACAGTAGTGTCTGAAGGGTTTCCCACCCTTTCTCCCTGCAGTTTTAATTATTAACAGTACTCTCACCTCCAGGGCCAGATTCCAATTCTCAGATGTGCAGTAGATATAGTACTGCCACTTACCTCGAAAAAAACAAACACTACTGTGCTTTTTCCAAGGTCTGATGCTAATCTGGCCCCAGGTTTACGTGAGACATTATAATCCTACGAATGTTTTCATCTCAGCATGGAAATAATTAGACTTGGGCAATCCCGCCTAATGTTGCTGTAGGGTAAATTAAAACAAGAGAATAATTGGGTAGCTTATTCAACTGACTGGAAGTGAATGTAAACCTAAACTAAAGAAAGTGAGCTGCAAAAGCAAGACTGGACATGGATTTCTGAGCACACAAAGCACAAATATGATTTTTAAGGAATGCAAACTTCCAAATGGGCACTGTTACCTTGGATTAAAAAAGGGAAATTAGTTAACAAGACTTGCAGGTCCTTTGGAGATTGGTTTTAGTCAACATTGGGTAAAGAAGACAAACACAATATATAAGTGATATATACTTCTGTGTCCTTTGGGGTGCAAAAAAGTAGTACGAAAGAAATAAGGCTAAGTAAGGGAAATGGTTACACTAACAAAGCAATTATTTTCAAGCTCAGTACTGTTCAACAAAGATGGGCAACCTGAATCCCTTGACCTTATTTTATGTGGCCCACAGCCTAATTTCAAAAGCTCTTTGTAAGCAATCAGTTCAGGCTGCTGGCAAGAGTGACTCATCACTCCCTGACAGTCTGCTGGACAGGCAGGAAAGAGGAGAGAGAAAAAGGGGCATCAGAAAGAGAAAAAATGTGGTCTCACCCACCACTGGACCTGGCCCCGCCCACATATGGCATGTGGCCTCCAATCGATTACTCCTGGGGGAATGCGATCCCTGACAGAAAAATGGTTGCTCACCCCTGCCTAATAAGTGTGTTTAGGGTAACCATTTGTAAACATCAAGTTAATTCAAGCAAAGTAGCACAACTTCTGAAGAAACATTTGGGTGTTTCACTACATTTTACTGAAACCACAGTATTAACCTAAAGCAGACAAACATGTAATGCAAAGTAAATCCTACCTAGTTTACACAAAAGAAATACTCAAGTCTTTAAAAGGAAATGATAACTACATACTGTTGAACAATATATTGGCAATGTCTTGCTTTCTGTGGAAACCTATTTGGTCATTAATAAATAATATAAAATTAATATTATTATTTACTCAATTTGTATACCACCTTTCATCCTTAGATCTCAGGGCGGTTCACAACCTAAAATTATGAAGCTAAGTAGAGAGAATCCACCTGGTCCTTTCCCCATGCTGACTATGGAATAGCTTATGGAAACTTGCCTGTCATAGGGCCCATTTGCATATGTAGTTTGCTTAAGTAGAACAGACAGCTTTTAAAAAATACTGCTCAAAGTCACAAACAATTCTGGTACTAATATGTTTCATATTTACATAATGCTGGAAAAGAGTAAACATTCCCTATTATATTCTATACAGTAATGTTGGTGTTTTCACAGCTAATCAAGATGAGGAAACCTACAGATTGGAGGACATGGCTTGTGAACATTTAGGGCAAATAAATCCATCTTTCACACCTTGCCAAGCATTTAGGATTGCTTCATATCCTGAAATAGCCAGTGTCATAAAATTTGGATTAAATGACGGTAAACATGCAGAGGATAGTACTGGACTTTAAGTAAAACCAAGTCTAGCAGTACACAGTACCTGAAAAAAGCTTTAAATTTATTTATGTAGAAGGATATTCTTACCTGGGATTAATCTTCGCTTCTTCCATCATTTTCTTGAAATCTTCCTTAGCCTGCATTATTTTATTTTTCTTCTCTTTGCGCTCTTCTTCTGCCCTGGTTTTCACATACTGATCAAATACCTACAGAAACACCAGAGTATACCATTTGGAGCATTATCACCCTGTAAGTGGAGAGAACTCCAAAGGACAAGTCAAAGGCTAGGATGCATCATTTGCAGTAATATGAGAAGTTACCATATATGATCCCAAGACTATTACTTCACTAAGCTTGGACTCACTGAAATATTCCTCTCTATAAAAACTTTTATGTAAAGCCATTCAACATAAATTTTAACACTGTTCTTTGGGGCACCAAGTAACAATCACAGCAGCAACAGTACCGAACATAGAATAGTTGGACGCTTAAGAACTGCTTCCTTCCATCAGGATGAATTTCTGTATTTTTTAATTGCACAGAGGTCTTCATTAGATAATGGCATGTCCTTTGATAGATCTATATGTCATCACTCAAGCTGGGATCAAGCCCATCTTGAACAATGTGGCATGGAACAAGGGGGTCCTGCAGCTCAAGCAGCCAGGAGGGGAGGTGAAGAAGGGTATTGCCGAAGATACTGCTACATACGGAGACAGTGACATATTCTTCTCTATCAAAGCCGACAAGTGTAATTCTCACTAAGAGAAGCTAATATATAACAGAAGCTATCAGAAAAGAGCCAGCTCTTTCTTCTTTCATACCTCATAGCCAGCATTTAAGAATGCTCAATAACCCTAGAAACACTTTTATGGCAATATTAATGTACAGTGGTGCCCCGCAAGACGAATGCCTCGCAAGACGAAAAACCCGCTAGATGAAAGGGTTTTCCGTTTTTGAGTTGCTTCGCAAGACAAATTTCCCTATGGGCTTGCTTCGCAAGACGAAAACGTCTTGCGAGTCTTGCGATTTTTGTTCGCTCCCCCCCCTTTTCCTAAGCCGCTAATCCGCTAATAGCCTTTTAGCCGCTAAGCCTTTAATAGCCGCTAAGCCGCTAAACGGCTAATAGCGCTAATCCGCTAATAGGGTTGCTTCGCAAGACGAAAAAACCGCTAGACGAAGAGACTCGCGGAACAGATTATTTTCGTCTTGCGAGGCACCACTGTAATCAAATTATCATTTATTCATGACGACACAGTATCCACACTTATCACTAGTTAGGATCGGACAAAAAACTCCCATTTAACATTGGGCTATATGTGCATGATTTAATATGAGAGACATACAACTGACCACCTTGGTTCAGAAACTGGTGGTTCTACCAAGTCTCAGCTTCTAAATAATCACTCTGGAGATGAAGAAATTAAAACAGAGTACATAAATAAATCCTGATTGTTCCCTTTTGCAAATTTTACATTTCCCATTTATTTTCATCTTTGTAGTAAAAGATTTCACACAAGAATATTTTGGGTATGAATAACATATTCAGGGTTTCTTTGTCAAATACTCCTGTCAATATTTTTATACAAATCTCTGTGACAATTATGGTTTGGGGGTGTGGGGGCTTTCATTTCCCTATAGAAATTGTCAAGTTCTCTCCCTAAACTTTTGTTATCTGATACTCCAGATATCACAGAATTCACAGGCCAGTTGTGTTTACCTGTAGGCCTTTATTTTACCTGTTTTCTTTCTTTAGGGTTAAGAAGCAGGTAGCGGGGATCAAAAACTATCTTGTGTAGCTCCTTCTCCCAAGTAGAAAATGCAGAAACCTTTAAAAAAAAATAGAAAGGGGTGGAGTGAAAGAGAGAAAAGTGCTGATTTTCCTAGCAATTAAATTCACCCAAAGACAAGCAAGTCGTGCTATTTTGCTTGAAACCTACAGGACATCTGTTAGAGAAGAGCCATAACTGAAACCCTTACAGCAGTTTCATCACTAATAGATGACAAGCTCCAGGAGGTCAGCATCACAAATTTCCACACTAATTGGCTCCAAAAACGTCTACATAATTACACAGAACTAACACACATCTAATTACTCATTAAAATAGCCACTACTGTGTGACATTTAAAAATTGCCACATCAAAAGAGAGCCTTGAAGTTCTCTACTCTGACTTCCTATGCTGCCTGCATAGCTCTTTTTCTAAATGATCCAATGTCTCCCCCGCCCGCCGCCACCCCAAATAAACCCAAAGGTTTTGCACAGAAATTGTCTCTGGAGCACTTTTAAAAAGACAGGTTAACAAGGCAAACTTATAACATTTCATGGAAACTGCATTGGAAAAATCACACTGAAAGCTGATATTCTTCACTCTAACAAGAGAATTTTGAAATCAATTGCAAACATATGCGCCGTTCTCCTGTCCCACCCATACCAAGGCTCCAGGAATAGCAATGATAGTTGCCAAAAATGCTCCACTTCCCTAAACTGCCCCTGAAAAAGACAACTGTTGTGGGCTTCATTTTGCATGAAAAAAAAATATGCTACTGAAATCCAGAATTTATGTTCAGTACACACACATAGGTAACAGACACACTCTTCAAATGTGAAACTATCGTAGTATAAGGATTTGAACAGAAGCCCAATTTATCCAACTCCCCAAATTAAGATTACACACCCACCCAACTAGTTGTGTGCAACAATCCTACATCACAGAACTTCAACAAGTGAATAGGTGTGTGAGAATGTGTGTGTGTTTCCCAATGGCATTTACTTAATGTGAACACTAGTTTTATCTTTGACCAGTTATTCTGCACATGTGCCTTCTGAACAATCAAACAACAACAAATTATCCAAGCACGGGACATCCTTATCATTAGCACCCATACAGAGTTGGAATATCTTATTAGTATACAGATAACCAATATCCTTCAATCCTAATGACAGTATGCAGGAATAACTTGTCAGTGAAAGAAGAACAATATAGGAACTAACAGATTTTTCCATTATTTGGGCTAAAATGTCAGTGTAATCAGGAAACACCAAGGTTGACTTAATACAATAATAGTTTCTGACCCCTCTTTCAAGTAGCATGTCCTTGAACTGTTTCATTCGCGCTTCCAGCGGGACAATTGCTCTCTCTCGAGCAGCTTTAATTTCAGCTTCCATGGCAGCCTCCTTCTCTGAATCAATGTCTTTGTTTTCCTCCTTCCTATGAAAGTGAAGGCATACAAGACTCCATTAAAAAAAATACAATTAAATCTTTAGCTTTACATCACTTTGGTAACATATGTTCAGGGTGGATTCCATTCAATGCATTCCATTCAATGCACAGTGGAACCAGAGACTATTTAACTTGGCCCAATACCCCCCAAACAATTAATTAAAAAATATGATTGAGCATACAACAATACTTTGGGCATACTGCAGACAAGCAATCTCGCTCAATATGGTGACTACAAAAACCACTGTGCAGTGTGGGAAACTTAGCTTTCCACACTGAAAGAGTTGAGCCCCAGTTCAGACTTCAAAAACTTTAAAGCTCAGAAATTCATGCAGTCTATCCTTTCATACACAACTTACTTCCGCTTCTTTGCTTTAATAGGTTCATCATCATTTGTTTCATCTAGCATTTCATGCTCTTCTTTTACTGTAAGAGAGGCCTCTATTAGCATCCCTATAGGTACAGACCAGGGGGGAAAAACACCACTTATATTCGGTTGTCTACATAAAGGTAAAGAATGCATCTCATGTTAATTTTAAGACATGCAAAGTTAGTCTATGGATACACATTAGAATCTCAATAAAGAATGCAATATTCCACTTTGAGGTTTCCCCCCACAATCAATAGGTATATTAATTTTATGAAATAAAATTAAACAACAAATAAGATTTGATCAATGATGTATGCTTCCAAAAAAATAAAATAATAATAAAAAATAATGTATGCTTCCAATTAATATCTATAATTTTTTTAAAAATCCACTCTACCATAGCTTCCAGAACCTAATACATACCAGCCTCAGAGGCAGAGGCTCAAATAAGATAGAACAGCCAGTTATGGCTTGGTGTGAAATCTTAATTGTTATTATTTATAAATTTTATATTCCACCCTTCCTCCCAAAGGAACACAGTGCAGCAAACACATAAGCGACACATTGATATATATATATATATATATTTTAAAAAAAACACCTGTGAAATGTTGAGCCAGACTGAACCATGTAGTTCAGGAATGACACCGTAGTTATTCTTGTGGGATGCTAGGACTCTGTTACAATGTGAGTGCTGCAGTCAGCAAGGTCTCTGAAACTAATTTGCGCCATGGCTCAGCTATGCCCAAGCTTCTTGGCAAGACTGCAATATATTTTGTGAGGTATGTAGTGTATGTATATGCAGAATAAAAAGCACTTCACTATTCCAAGTGTTTACATTGGAAATCTCACTAATCCTTTAGTACCATCCAACCAAAAAGGCCAAATCAAGCTCACAGATGTGATGAACCACTGCCTGGTTTCCAGCTGCATCTCCAACATCACAGAAGGGGATCCTGTATCTCCCCCCCCCAAAATCTCCCCATCCCAGACCACCAGCCATGTTTCCCTAACTTTGTTCTACATGCCGGTGGATTTAAAGTAGAGGGAATTGTTGAGTGAAAGAAAACATTAGCTTTTGAACCAATGGGAGATATCAAATATAGAGGACCTGCACTTCCTAAGATTATGTAAATATTCACATTACTGAATATATGCTTAGCCTACTTTTAGTAATCAAAAATGATTTAATTTAGTCACAACTGAGTCCCAGAAATCATGCACTGATCAATAACTTTTTCCAGTGCAGTTCTCTCTTGCTTCTAAATAAGCACGAAATATCTCTTGCTTTGAATAAGCACAAAAAAATTGAACCTCTAAGTATATTCAAAATTGCAAAATAACCAAGACAAAATAGGAAGAATACTGTTTTTATTCTTACTTTGTTTTTTCACTTCATCTATTCCTTTTTTGTGTGGAGGCTCCTGAATAATTTTATCCACATCTGCTCTTCCAATTAAGTCATCTGGTCTATCCCACATAGACAGACGTGTGGTAGGGTTGTAAAAGAAAACCCTCTCATCACCTGTCCACACCACACACCTACAGAAAAGCCACAATCAATCAATGGTTTATCAATACTCTATCAAAGTTTGTTTAACCTATAAGCATGCTTTCAGTTAATAAAATACAGAGGTCCCAATGCTTACTCATAAATAAGCAACATTGTATTCAGTGGGCTTATTCCTAGATAAATGTGCATATGATTATAGCCAAGATCAACAGCACTTAATTATACCTGTCTGTACTAGAATGTTTTATAAACAGAAAGTAGACTTACGATCACTGCTAACTGCTGGTCAATCTCATACAAAAATAATGTAAAGCTGATTTTTTCTTTATTCAACATGAAATGTATAAGCCTATTGCTAACATTATTGATTAAATCATTGTAAATCTAACATTAATTTTATATTAGAAATAAACAATGAATAAAATATTCACTATGAATAGAATGCACAGATTTAAAAGTAGTACTTATATATTCACAGTTACAGGTAGGTCTGCCTTACTCGAAACAAAATTTAAAAAATTCCTTCCAGTAGCACCTTAGAGACCAACTAAGTTTGTTATTGGTATGAGCTTTCGTGTGCTTTTGTGTGCATGCACACGAAAGCTCATACCAATACAAACTTAGTTGGTCTCTAAGGTGCTACTGGAAGGAATTTATATATATATATATTCACATTAATCAATCTGAGGGGGGAAAATGTTACTTACCATGGAGTACCAGGAATAGGGGTAGTAGCGACAGGTTTTGCTTTCTGAGCTGCTTTTTCTTCTTCTGTCATTTCTTCTTCTTTTGGTTCCTGGTGAGAGATCAAAGGTAATTTAAAACCAACTGTTGCATTTATAGTGAATTGACAAGGATAGGGAGGAACTATATAAAATCAATTGGAAATAAAAAGTAATTTGGAAATCAGTGAAACCAATGTGTAAGAAAGGTTTCTGAACTATAATGATTAACTCATTTTATGTTTAACACACAGTAAGGGCAACATCCTAAGATGCCCACCTGCTTTTGCACAGTGGTTAATCCATCTGTGAAATGGGATGTCTGGTTTCTTTTTGCCCCTTTCCACCTGCACCCCCATGTGCCCCAAAATCTGCTCCAAAGTAATAGAAAAGCTGCCAAGAGTTTGTGGTATTTTACTACTTTCAAAACTATGCAATAGCACTTTGTTTTGATGTTTATGTTCCTAAATGTAAATCAAGTTTTCAATATTTAAGGCACTGAATGTGTGCCTTAAAAACTGTGGACTGTATTCAGCTTGTTTTTACTCAGAATATGCATTTGAATAAATGAACCTAGGTTGTCATACTTATTCAACTGATTGACGCAAAGTATGATTAACATTGGATACAATCAAGTTTTTCAGCCATTGAAGACTATCCACAATGCTTTACTTTCTAAGTAATTTGTAAAATCAAATATTGCTTCTAGTTAGTTCCTAAATATAATAACCACCTATTCACGTTAGAGAGCTGTCAATGTGCTGCCAATATGCTCTCAATATCCAGACCAAAATGTGTGTATTTTCCATTTTATTTCAGTTTACTTAAATGCATCTTCCACTTCATTCTACTTGTTTTCACAAACCAACATAAGAGTATTTAAATACAGCAAAATTAAGCTGTAGGTTTCTCATGTCTTTTACCTCTTTTATAAGTTCCTTGATAGGTTCAATTTTGGGTTCCTCCTCTTCGGTCTCCATAGGCAAAGGGTCTTCGGCAGGCTCCTTAATGCTTTCTTTCATCTTCTCTTCTACTTTTTCTAGGGAAAAGCATTGTTTTTTACCTTCCACTTTCTGTAAATTCAAACTTAAGTCTCTTATCAGCATAATTATTCATAATGAAAAGTACATTTGAATGCTAGTGTTTTCATTTTTGTCAGAATTTTTCTCAACTATGGACATGTATCTGTGATTATACAAATTATTAGAGCTAGCAGAATGACACTGGGTGGCTATATTTCTGCTCCCAGACAGCTACACTTTTAGGTGTTGCATGATGCTGTTTAACATCTATATGACGCTGTTAGAAGTGGTCATCAGGAGATTTGGGGTATGGTATCATCAGTATGCTGATTACACCCAGCTCTATTTTTCTGTTACATCCAACTTTAGTGTGCTGTGCAATTTCTCAATCAGTGCCTTGATACAGTGGTGGACTGGACAAGACCCAATACTGAGTCGGAATCTTGGTAAGATGAAGGCCTTGTGGGTGGTTTCCCAGTCCAGAAATCAATACAATCTGCCCATTCCCAACACAGCTGCATTCCCCTGAAGGAACAGGTATGTAGTCTGGAGACGGTCCTTGACATGCAAGGAGTTCGAAGAAGCAGCTCTTTGTTTTCACTAGGCAGTCTGGTTTTATGTAAAGCAACTGTTATTTACAGTCTTCTACTTATATTTCCAAAAGAAATATATTTTCATAGTTTCTGTCTTTTCAAAATTACCATGGATATGCAACTGCCTTACATTGGTTCTTTGTGGTAAGGATGGCAATCACTTCTGTAATCAGCAGATACCACAAGTACTTTAGAAAATAATTGCTAAATGTTTACACAAGGATGAGATAATATAGTGGCATTCTCTTGCTACTGATATGTGGAGATTTATATTGGCTCCAGGACTACTGTTTTGTTGCTATTCAAAACACTGGTGGAACTTTGTCCAAACTAAGACAATTATCTATGCTGCAATTCTAATCTAGTTTGTTCTTAGCAATAAAGTTGCTGTTTTGTAAGGCATCCTTTGGGGCCTGCCTCCTTCTCTGAAATAGTATGAGATGCTGTCAGAAACCCAAACCTTAAGTGTTACAAAATTTGCTCAATTTCCAGCCCTAGAAAGCTTCAACAGACCCTCAGAATAACCAGTCTGGCAGAAAAGATTTGATTGTTGCTGCACAGCAACATTGTGCCACAATGAGATAGAAGAAATTAGGCTCATCTCCCTCATGTTTAAATCCTTCACCTTTATTGAGGAAAACCAAGGATTATTAATTTTATTTATTTATTTGATTTCTTACCCACCTTCATCATTAAGATCCCAGGGCAGGTTACAGCAATTTAAAAATAAAATTTAAACAAATTATAGACAAGGCAATAAGGTAGGTACTGAAAATAATTATGCAGTGCAGATTTGGTTAATTTTTTATTCTTAAGTGTAATATCATTTATGAGGTGGAGTATTTCCATCTGAAATGTCAAAGCCTAGAGAGTCAACGGAATACCTTTTTAAAAACTCATGATTTGGGGAGCAAAAAGGAAGAGCTTATCAGTGATAGATTAATACTGCTAGGCATCCTGTACAAAGGACTCTCAAAGAGTCATACCCTTTTCACACTGCAACAGAAATGCCAAGGCCAATAAGAAATGGTTTAAAAATCTAAATAGAGAACATGAAGCAACCTGGAGATAGCTACTAAATAGAATTCTAGAAATCATCCATCTGTAAAAAGAAATCCATAAAAAGCAAATACTTGGAGACTCTCAACACAGCTGGCAGTAGGCTCCAGGATAAAAACAGGCATTTCTCAGTTCAGACAAATGGAAGCTGAGAGAAACCGCAGCCTGGCGGTGGAGGTCTGCTAAGCAGGAGCCCAAAGTCACACATGCAAAACTGGGGCATTTTGTAACAGTGTGCCATATTAAGACAAGAGAAGCAACGAACTTCAACTGTGAGCTAGTAAGAAAGGGAAAGACTGTAAAAGAAGTAGCATACTAGTGGAGGTGGGACGCTGAATCATGCCATCAGCTTTTCTGAAAGACCAGCTCCACTGGACTCCTCCTGTCCCTGAACTGTTTCCATTTATGTTGGTCATTATAAGAGATACGGAGCTTGCTTCCCCCAACTTCTGACTCACCATGGCTTTTTCTTTCTGCGTCATGTTTTTTAGATTGTGAGTCTGTAGACAGAGAGACTCTTGTTTTAACTGTATGTAAGACATACAGTGAGGGACACGGGTGGCACTGTGAGTTAAACCACAGAGCCTAGGACTTGCCGATCAGAAGGTCAGCGGTTCAAATCCCCGTGACGGAGTGAGCTCCTGTTGATCGGTCCTTGTTCCTGCCAACCTAGCAGTTCGAAAGCACGTCAAAATGCAAGTAGATAAATAGATACTGCTCCGGCGGGAAGGAAAGCGGCGTTTCCGTGCGCTGCTCTGGTTCGCCAGAAGCGGCTTAGTCATGCTGGCCACATGACCCGGAAGCTGTACACCGGGCTCCCTCGGCCAATAAAGCGAGATGAGCGCCGCAACCCCAGAGTCGGCCATGACTGGACCAAATGGTCAGGGGTCCCTTTACCTTTACGACATACAGCAGGTTTAAAAATGCTAGAAGCACACACATTCATCAGCCAATTTGTCTTTTTAATTTTGCAAAGCGCAACATTAGCTGGTCCAAAACTGAACACTATACCTTTCTCCTTCAGTTCTTGAGGCTTCTCCCATGTTGATTCCAGTGTCCTATTATTATAGTAGTAAGTCTTCCCATCTGCTGTTTTGTACTCTGTCCATTCAGAGACTGCTGTTGCTCCAGCCAATGTAGCAGGTGAAGCGGCAATAGCAACCTGAGGATGGATCATAGGTACAATAGGAGGAGCCATTCCTGGCAAGACACCTACATAAGAAGGAGCAAAAAAAGGCAAGTACTGATAAAGTAACATTTTGTGAATCCAAAGCATCGAACTGAAATCAGCATATACAGTGGCTTATTAATGAAACTGAAGATATCAATACTGGAAGCTGAGACATTTCTTCTAAGCTGTAGTTCTGTGTTAGTACACTGTACTTGCACATTGCCTAATCATTACTGCCCTGTATACCCAGTCATGGATGGCACAAAATGTAGTAAATATTTGATGAATCTTGTGAATTTGCACTATTTTTTAAGTGTTGAGAATGAAGTTATTGCTAATTCCATACACTATCATAATAATCAGCATTAAAAGAAGATGGGAAGGATTTACTGCTCTTCAAAGTGGTAACACTAACAAAGAGTAGTAAAACAATAAAGTCAGCTTCTTCAGTACAGATGTAGCATGATTATCAGGAAATCTTCTTAGTTCTCTCTATTAAAAGGTCATGTGATCCAGCAAAGCAGACCCACACATGCAAGCCGAGCTTCCCCAGTGCCATGGAAGGGGAGAGAGTCCTGCACACTTACTGAGCTCCTTCAAGCACTGCCAGGAGCACCCAATCTTAGAAGTCAGGATCACATGTTTAGGTGCCAATACAACCCGGGATTTTGCTTTCAACTTTGATTTTTGGATTTTAAAGTTAAAATAACAGATGGTTTAATGCAGCATGACTCTAGTTTTTTTGTGAATATGTAGGGTACTGACAACAAACTCCTTTTTGCATGAAAACATATATATCTAGAACAGCCTTTAACATGTAAGTTTAAACATAGACACAGACATACATACACATACACAAGCACACTAACATGCAAACAAAGTCTGATCACTGTACAAATAGCAGGAGGGGGGGAATCAAACACTGTATCCCACATAGGAAAGCAAAAACAAAATATGGTTATGGAAGAGATTCACATGAACAGTAGTCTAACTTGCATATGTGTTTTTTTTTTAACTAATTAAGCTCATAGCCAGTTAATTGGGGGGAAATCTTGCTGACTACATGTGAAATCTGTATTTGTAAGTGTATTTTGAAAATAAATATAAGAGATCCAGTTATTTGTGGAAAGCAAATAAAGGTAAAAACAACAACATTCACTACCATGCCAACTTACAGACAAAACAGACTAAGATGGTTAAAAAAAATTACCGGTCTTGGTGGTAGCGACTGTCTTTACATACGGGCAGCTGACTATTTGCATCATTGCTACACCTGTAAAATGGATAAGCAAGCATGTTGGAAAGCTGCCACTGCATGTCAGCTACCACTGGGAATCTGAGTAGTATCAATTTTCCTGCTACAAATTTAGCATGCCATTTTTTTTTCCAATGGCAGTGGGAAGCAAGCAGGAAGGTCTAAAATGCGTTTCCCTTTTAGTATAGTGATTCCAGATCAATGACAAGTTCCTGCTATAATCTCGGATTATACTGAACATGAGGACTTAAATGACAATGCAGCCATCTTTTTTAAAAAAAATGAGGGAATAATGCAGGGATTTAAATTCAGTGTGGTCAAGCTTCTCCACCCCCTTGTGAGACAATGCTATGAAAGGTCATACTTATCTTGCCGTATTACAGCAATCTGTCCAGGATTAGTGCAAATACCTCATTTAGCCCAATCCTATGCACATTTACTTGGAAGGAAGCCCCATTGTGTTCACAGTACTGAAGCCTTAGGAATGTATTTGGGGGAGCAGGGGGAGAAGAATGGTGGTGTTGAGAAAGCAAATCATACTAGAAGGCACAGGAGTATCAGTCTGAAGAGGGAAAACAGGCAAGGTTGAAGGTAAGATGGTGAATGCAAGTAAGGGACAAGGTAACAGGCCCCCTCCAAAAGAAGAAAGGAAATGGAGAAGTTGAGTTGATGGCTCATTAGTTGCCTATATATGCTCTCCCTTGTATCTTCTCTCCCTTCTCCCGCTCCTACCTCCATTCCGGAGCCAAAACAAATTACAAATTAGCTCTTTAAAATACTACCCTAGCCACACAGAAGAGTCCCATGTGGCAAGGTAGGCTTACGTTTAAAGGACACCTTTTAAGTTTATTCATTGAAAAGAGCAGTCAAGAACTGTTTTCCAATTGAAAAATGTTACTGACAGGTCACATAGGATGGGACACCCAGCAACTGAGGAAGGAGGGGAGGGAAACAGGGTTGAAGGGACATTCCAGACAAGAGATAATTTAAAGAGGTACCAAGTTTATAGTACCTTCTAACACTAGAAAATGCAAGAACGTAAACCCTTCCCAAATTTCTTTTAGAATATTTTTACTCCCATATTTTGAGATGCAAAAAATGAAATTAAGTCCCAAGTTCAAAACAAACAAAAAACAAAGTTTCTTCAAGAGTGTCCAATACAAAAACATTCAACTATCATTCATGGGTTTTTGTATTGCATTAGTCTTCCAGAAAATATCTTTTCTAATAATATTCCCAAGCTTTATTCATGCATGGAACAAAATGCACAACTGCCAAGTCAAGCAAAATATTTGTTGATATATGTTAGGGTGTATTTACGTTACAAATTTGCAATGAATGCAGAGGTTAATCTTGTTAACCATGTTTTGAATATGCCTGAAAATTAAGTGTAGAGCTGCAATCCTAAACAGATTTACTAGAGAGTAAGTATCATTACAGTGTGACTGACTTCTGCGTAAGTATGCATAAGATTGTGCTACAGAAAGATCACTGAATCTGGGCAAGGTTTTAGTTCAGAAAGATGTTTCAGAAAGTAGCCATTTCCACTGTCAAACTTGTCATGTTAAAATGTATCAGTAGCTTATAGTATATGAACTATAACTAAACACTTAAGGCTGTTTAGTTAAGGCTGTATAGTTAAACACTATAACTAAACACTTAAGGCTGAAGGGGAGAAAATAATTCGAACAGGTACTTCTTCACGTACAATAGCAGTAGTGACAATGTAAAATACATTTTCAGTATTTGAAGATGTTACTGGATGTTCCAACCGCTCTTATTTATTTCTTAGTGCATTAGTATTCTAACTTGACTTGTTTTTTATGCTACTAAAAGACTGTTTAAAGAATGCACATAGGATTCTGCCTATAGAAACGACAAAAACTACACTATTAATTGGATCAAGACTTGCAATCAGCAGCGTTCTGCTCACATTGGAGGAAGATGGTGGAATTTTCACCAATTCCTCCTTCCTTCTGTATCTCCTGTTGTTGTTGTTGCTGTTCCTGTGCTAGGTAGTTTCCGCTGCTTTACCAATCACGTTTATACTTTTCAGAATAACTATTGGAATTTCATATTGTATATTTTAAGATCTCAGAGGTTTCACTATTAAGACAGGCAACTTGGCCAGTAGCACTGAAGCCAAACTAGAAGAGTTTCATGAATTTGAAAAACATATCTTTGTACAGTGGTACCTCGCAAGACGAATGCCTCGCAAGACAAAAAACTCGCAGGACGAAAGGGTTTTTTGTTTTTTGAGCTGCTTCGCAAGACGATTTTCCCTATGGGCTTGCTTCGCAAGACGGAAACGTCTTGCAAGTTTGTTTCCTTTTTCTTAACACCGTTAATACAGTTGCGACTTGACTTCTAGGAGCAACTCATAGAACGCGGTGTGGTAGCCTTTTTTGAGGTTTTTAAAGACTTTGGTGATTTTTGAAGCTTTTCCAAAACTTTCCCGACACCGTGCTTCACAAGACGAAAAAAATCGCAAGACAACAAAACTCGCAGAACGAATTAATTTCGTATTGCGAGGCACCACTGTATAAATGCCCACATATGTCACTGGCACTAGATGTAGCTTTTATGAAAAGTTAACCTTTTTTCAGTCAGCTGAGGTGACTTAAGAATCCTGGTAATGCTAGAATCCTAAGTAGTGCTTAAACACTGTTTAAAAGTAGTGCCTTTTAAACAGGGGTGGAGGTGGAGGAGTATTCTTTTTGTTTGTTACTATGCATTTTTGTGTTTTTATATTGTAAACTGTGCTGTGATCCTCAAATGAACAGCAGTATAGAAATTTTTATAAATAAAATAGACTACAGTAGTTATTATATACTAGCAAATTTTCAAACACACTTCCCACATAGGTCCAAGTTTCTGTCTTCAACCATATAGGCCTGAAATTATTCCAATTTCAGAATGAAGCTATATGGCCCGGCCAAAAAGTACTTGTGTATGTCAGTACCACCAAATCCTCTCCCTGTCTTCAACACAGTCTGTCTTTAAATTCTAGGGGTACAAGTGATGGCAAGAAAGGGAGGACACCATAGGTGGCACCATGGATTTGAACTTTTTTTGCGCTGATAGATAATTAAACCCTATCTTTGAATTTATTAATTCGTTTTATACTGTCCTTCAGTGAAAGTTTACTGATTCCATCTGGTAATTACCACTTGGCAAGGTAACAACTGAAGTGTATTTCTTTTGCACTCAGTCAGTTTTACTCTATCATTTAGAAATATGCATACATTAATAGCTGCACTGTAATATGTGACTCTACAACTAATGTTTTGAAGAGCTTGTATAGGTAATTAACCAGTTTAATAAGAGTTAATTCACCAAAGCAGCTATTTACTTCAAGACAGTAGTCTACTTCTACAAAGACATCGCTTATTTTAAAGTCAGTAAAGCCTAGTATCACATTCTTAGGGTGCAATCCTAAGCATGTCTACCCAGAAGGAAGCATTCCCAGGTAAGTGTGTATAGGATTGCAGCTTAAGTAACAAAGACAAGGTGAATTTCTTCCAACCATGAACTGTTAAACCAATTAACTGTGTTTGAAGTATAATATGTATTCATGCCAAAAAAAAAGGGGGGGGTTTACATGACTTCTTGCCAATAAAAATAAATTCTGGAATTATTATTTTTTACTCTAAAAAGCCTGTCAGCTAACTCCAAATTTGTTGAAGAATATATTTTAAATGAAGAGGATTCAGGCAAATTCCATTCACAGTAGACACATGAGTGCAAACAAATTGACAACATGGACATGTGGCTGGCAAGACAGTCATAGTATCTCAATTTACCTGGAAGTGGAATAGGCATGCCAGGAAGAGGAACACGAAATGGAGGTACCATTACTGGTGGGAAAGCAGGAATTGCTGCTGTCGGCTGAGGTACTGCATGAGGTACTGCAGGAGGCAAAGTCTGTGGGACTGGCTGGGGTACAGTCTGCACAGATGTAGCAGAAGGAGCAGAGGTTGAAACACTGACTGAAGGTGTAGCAACTGAAACAGCTGAGCTGGGGGTCTGGTCTTGTGTTGTAGGTGCTGATAAAGAGAACAAACATCCAAAACCCTATATCATACATGTATAAGCTCCATGTTTAATATGATTCACCAACATTCCCTTGCAAATTAATGCCAAATTCATTATGCTCTCATAAGTAATTTACAAAACTATGCAGTTTTCGGAGGGGCCACTTAAGAACTTGCAAGTTATTTCATTTTAGTATAAACTTCAATCTTAATGCCAAGATTATCAAGGTGCTCTGCTAGTGGAGTCACCAAGAGGTTTCTGCTGCAAGGATCAAATAATGAAATAATCTCTGCAGCTGCAAAAATTTACCATACACACGCACACTCACCTCAAACAGCCTAGGCAAATTTCTGAAAATAGCTGATAATGGGTTTTTTTCAGCTTTCTTCAAAGGATTAAGATTTTATTTCATTTCCACATTTTCCACAAAATGCACCTAACAAACCTCCAGAGCAGTGGCATGAGTTTTCTGTTGATTCATCAAACAGCAAATAAAGTCATTTGAACAACTGATGTATTAGGAACTTACATTGCTCCTAGTCAAAATAAAGAACAAGGAAACTACACTGTACCATTGCAGAGTGAAGGTACACTTTGTAATACAAAGCAAAAATTTGAAACATAATGAAAGCACTTCAGCATATGCATGGCCACAGCAGATACTGTATATTCAATATTTTCCTCTATAACTCACTGTAAGCATTCTAGAATCCTATAGCACCTCCATGTGGTGCAATAATTTAATATTAAGCTCAGCAGCAATTTTACTTACTGGAAACTGTTTGTGAAACAGACGTCGTTGTGGTACTAGTAGACGTTGTAGATGACTGACTATTTGATGATGGAGATGGAGATACTGATGCAGGACTACTAGTAGTAGGTGTGGAACCACCTACAGCTTGAGCTTGGGCTTGGGCTTGGGCTTGGGCTTGAGCCTGGGCTTGAGCCTGGGCCTGAGCAGCAAGAATTGGTGTCAGTTCAGACTGCTGAATAACTTTCACTCCATCAGGTTTGGTCCATGCTGACTCACGTGTCCGTGCATTATAGTAATAAACCTAGAGGCAAAAAAGACAATTTTATGCTACTGTACATAACCTAGTTCTTCCATTCACCTTTCAGATTCCTACCTGTGAAAAAGTCTCAAAATCAATATAATCGTTAGAAATTTTTCTTAGTATTCTGAAGGCTTTACAATACTACACAACCACCTTAACAAATAGGATTGCTAAGGATGCAAGCCTAATCCCCTGATCAATGCTGCTAGAGGGGGTTGGGATTCTGCAGACGTGTCCATCCACTGAACACGATCCTGCAGGGGATTCTGCTGCCATAAAGGTTACCACTGTGCCTGCCAAAACTGTGGGCAGTTGTGAAGTTATCCATGACATGGGGCCCCAAATCCAGGCACAGCATGCAGAGCAGGGCCAGCCATGGAACCACTAGGCCCTGGGCTGGTCCTTTTCCCAAAGAGGGGAACAATTCAGACCCCCCTGTGGTGCCAATCTGAAAACTTCAAACACACACCTTCTGCCTTTCCCAACAGGATTGTTGTATCTTCAGTGCAGCAAGACAACAATTATTACTATTGTTACTAGGGATAAATCTTACCTTTCCATCTGGAGTTTTGTTTTCTACCCAGATCTCTTCAGTAGGTGGCATTGTTGGTGTTCCAGGGGCAGAGACAGGTGGCATCCCTGGAGGAAACATCATACCAGGAGGTGGTGGCATATTTCCCATTGGAGGAGGCATGAAAGGTGGTCTCTACAAACATATGCAAGAGTAAAAATATTACAAGGGATGTTCAAATTCACAGTGCCTTCATAACTAACCAAATCTATCCAGAAATAAGTCCTTATGGGATGTATCCAACTAAATGCACAGAACATCTGCATGCACAGAACATCTTCCCCAAACACAACAGAACTTTCCCAGCCTCTCCTCCCCTTGCATGCCTCCCAGAACTGTTCTGGAGGTTCTCCCAACCATCCAGAGCATATTTGGGGGACATGCAGAAAGAGTTACTGTCCTCATCTCATACATATTTTTACCTGTAGATGTGGAGGTCCCATAGGTGGAGGAATTCCTCCTGGGGGTGGCATTGGAGGCATATTTGGATCAAATGGAGGACGTCCAAAAGGAGGTCGGGGTGGTGGTGGAGGGCCTCGCATCATACCAAAAGGTGGAGGTGGGCGCATAAGAGGTGGTGGGCCTCTCATGACAGTATTTGGTGGAGGAGCTGGTCCACGAAATCTCAGTGCTTGCTGTTGAGCCATTCTGTGAGCAAACCAAAATGAACAGTTTTGTCTTCAAATTATTTGATCAACAGAAGGGAATTGGTGTTACAAGTGAACCAAAACATTGTGACAAAGTTATCATGAACCCCAAACTGTTTGGGAGACTTTGTCCTCACAATTTAAATGACTTAGAAAGCAGTATCTAGACTGGGGATACTTCAAATGGAAAGGCACTGCACAAGTTTCCCTCCCACAAGCCTAAATACAAGTCACCTCAAACGCAAGGTGCAATACCCACATCTCTCCTGTATTTATATATATCCAAGACATGGACAACTGATTTTAATAAATACCAAAGCACCCCACAATTTCATAATGTGAATGGGTGCACACCACACACTTGGATGGGAACATCTACATCCTTTTCACTTGTAGCCTAAATCAGAATTTGAGAATGCTATCCCCACTGTGCCACCCAGCCCTCTACAGAGGTAGCTTAGTAAATGTATATATAGAAAAAACGTTCACCTTTGCAACCAACAAACGCTCTTCTGATGCTCTCAGGAAAACAATTTTGCCCACCATTTAGTGCCAGTGCAATACCAATGTTGGCATGATGACTCAAAATTGAAAAAAACAAAGGTTATAAGGTGGTGAACGACAACAGACAAATAATTCAACACTTAATATTCAACCTTCTAATTTTGGAAGTTGCATAGCACAGAGGTGTTTAAGAATTCTATTGTTGTATATAACTCATAAATTTGTGATGTAACACTCAGTGGCCACTGCCAACTCCACTGAGATGGTCAAGAGCCACAGCAGATTTTTTTTGGTGATAAAGCTATTAAGAGTACATAATATATGAATATTGCATGAGTTACAAAGGATGCACATATGTAAGGATTTCAGGTTATGCCTTTAGAACTCAAGCAAGTTTGGGCCTGAACTTTTCCTATCACAGCTCACTTTAAAAGGAAAAAGCCACAATGCAGCTATGTAAACTGACACAATGCGCATCTATTTTGTACATGTAAAATATAAGTCATTTAAAATATATCTTAAAAATAGGGGTGCCAAGACTGAACACTTTCACTAAGGAAGCTATTCTGCCAGTTCTGGAAAAATACTGTCTACAGAACTGATAGAATTTTATCACAGCACATGCATAGGTAATGAGAATTTGCAATTGGCCTCCATTATTTGATAATAATGAACTTGAAATGGAAAATATTATGCAGAAAAATAAAGCACTGAAAAGTTTTCTGCCATGCATTTGTGTATGGGAAAAACTGGTTGCCCACATCCATCCCGGGAAGGACAAATTGGCAGAATCCAAGAGAAAGCAAAACTTTTAGTATTTCCGAGACATATAAGTTATTTCATTTCAATTCATACTGAACATAAAAGGCCTCCTCTAGAGGTTTCTGAGAGGAGGAAGGCCTGCGGCCTGCTAAAGAGCACAGTATTCTAGTGTGATAGGGGTCTTCCTGCCCTCCCTCTACCTCCAGTATCCACTACTGTTGCCATCTACCCAAAGTCTGGCGTAAGAGGGAGAATAAAGGCTGGCTACAACTTGGATTGAGGGCTACTTATCTCCAAATCCTCACTGCTTTCACCACTGCTGCAATAGACTGGAGAAACAGCCTGGGCCTAAGACTACCAAGTCTATATGCATAGTCAGGCCTTGTTTTGTTTGTCATAATGGGCCATTTCAAAAGGACAATGCTTTTTTCTTATGATGCACAACAATTAAATTGGAATAGAGATTGCTGCTATGAACACTAGAAGTTAAAAATACTATCTGGGTGAGTTTTTCCACTACTCTTATGATTGTTAGCATTTGCAGTGGAATTTCTGGATACAGTGAAAGTCACATCATACTGCAAATTACCAAAGATACAGTATATGCAAGCAGGGTAGCTGGGTGAAAGAGCAAACTGGACATCTGCACTTTTAATAGAAGTGCAGAAGACTTTCACCAGCTGCTGGAATTATTTCTTCTGCATGACTATTGAAGGTGAAGCAGCCCTGTCTTCTTTTTCACATAGCTGTGACACAGACAAGTACAGATTTCCCACTTTAAACTGGACTGCTTCATATGTTTTAAGTGGAAGAGGGCTGGGGTGGTGGCACAAATTCAATCTCAGTTATTCTGTTTAGTCACTAATTATGCTTAATATGTACATTTTTAATATTTGATTTTTCTACTTGTAATTTCTTAATGTTTACAAATAATATTTTTCTGGTAATTACATTGCTTTAAATGGTGGATTTTTACTGTCTTTCATTTGAAGCTTTGAGGAAAGTTGCAAACCCCTTACAGATTCTTTTTCCAGGAATACAAAGCAGTACAGAAATGACTTTAATAATAAACACGAAAGCATTTCCATGTACAGAAAATCGTCATGCATGTGTTTTGCTCTGCATCCATATGTTGGGAAGCTGCCATTCAACATAGCTTTCCAACACATGGACGCCAGAAGCGTACCATGCAAAATACAACCCTATATTAATGTCACATGTCAGCTTCACGGTATTTCCTACGTGGGAATGCTTCCTTATGCAGGACCAATGTTAACAAGTGAAGTATTCCTTCTGGTTACTTGGATACAACTTTAGATGTGATCTGGCCAACCTTCTACGCTTGCATTGCAAGTTTTTCACACCCATACACAACCCTGAGGGGCTTCTCCTCCTCAATGCAGTCTATGAACATATGAAATCCTGCCTTACACTTGAGGCAGCCCCTTGCTTCATTTAACTCTGCACAGAATAGATTTAACAGGTATCTGCTGCAGATGCAAGGGTTGTTTTATTTCCTCCCCTTGCCTTCCTCAGATCCTCTTTCCTGCTGAAATACTAAGGCCTTCCACATGCACAGAGGCATGCGCTCTCAACTACTACTGAGCCTCGGGCCCCCAGCTGAGGCGCCAGTTCAAGAAGGAACTGGGGAAGAAGGGAACCACGCATCTCCTCCGCCGCCCGCCCGCCGCTCTTGATACGTCAGCGTGTGTCCGGGAGCCGCCATTGGCAAAAGCCGGCTGCGTGTGGGGGAGCAGCCAACAGACAAAACGGGCATCCCGTCCCCAAGGCCGTCTCTTTGCCGCCTCCTCCTGAGTTGAAGAGCCGTTGGAAATAAATAAATAAAACAAGCGAGCATGGAAGCGGTACTACTCTGGAATAATGAGGTTAAAGCGGTCGGGGCGCTGAGCGGGAATCTCACCAGGGCAGGAGGGAGGCTTGAGGTGAAGGGCGGGCGGGCCGGGGGCGGGGGAGCCCCGAGAGGGAGCGAAGGCCGAACGGCCGCTTCCGCCTCGAGACGAAAGGACGGAGGGGGGCGGGCCCAGCGCCGCCAAAGCGGAGCGGGAAGGGCGCTCGTGCCCCCTGCGCTCGCTCGCTCTCCCTCGCGCGCGCGCGCTCACAAAAGGCCTCGTGCTCCTAGCTCCTCCTGCCAACCCCTTCCTTCCCCCCGCCCGCCGCCATTCCCGGAGGAGGACTTGGCCTTACCTCATCTCATTGTTGTACCGCTCCGCCGCCCCAGCGTCCCCTTCGCCGCCGCCTGCTCCGCCACTCGCGCCGCCGCCGCCGCCGCCTCCTCCTCCTCCTCCTCGTTCCGCCATCACCAGCCGACTCTGCCGCCGCACACGCCCACCCTCGCCAGGCCTCGCCGCCTCGTCAGTGGCTGCCAGGTGCGTCAATCACATGACGGCACCGCGTCACCCTCGCCTCGATTGGTGCCTGTCGCCGCCGATTTTGAATGAGAGGCGGAAAGCGAGTAGTGACTGGCTGGTTTGGCTCAAAGAGCATCAAGCGGCGCCGCTTGAACGCGCCCTCCTGCGGCCCGCTCGCTTGCACGTCACGTGACCTATAACCCGGAATTGACCTTGTTTACCTCAAAAAAAAAGAAGTCTCTGACCACAGAGATAAGAAAATAAAGGGACGCATCCTATTCTTTTGATACGGAACTTCCGGGTGTATGTTGGAGAAGCCATTTTTTCAACCTCGCGGGGTCTGAAGTGAGAGCAGTAAAAGTGATACAGTAAAAGCACAATTTTAATGTAGTTCAGCTATGGTGGGGCTCCATCGTGTCCTCTCCAAAATAGTAGAGACGTTTAGGGTCTTTCTTGCTCAGGACTTATTTCATGCGAAGAGATGATGCGATCTTTTTACCAAAAAAGAACAAATACTTTCAGATTTATTCATTTGATTTATGGCAGTTAACAATTTTAAAACAAATACACCATATAAAATGTAATACAATCCATTATTAATTAATTAATTAACAAATCACTTCCTAGGAGGCATTTTGAAGCGACCTCACAATACAATAAAAATATAAAACAACTATTGCATATATAAAAGCAAGCAAAAGCTGTTACAGATAAAAATACAATTTCAAATACTGTAAAATGCAAATACTGACTGGGGGAGGGGGAGATATCCACTCATAAGGCTTGTTGTTTGTATTGGTGGGAGAGAGTAGTTTTTGTTCACCCCGCAATGTTACCCACAGTTAATACTGCTAATTAAAAGCAGGGTTTTAATTTCAAGCCAAAATACCACTCAGGTTATACCACTGCTTAAACTGCCATCTCAGGTCCACTCAGAAGCTTTCTGCTCCACTGACTTGCAAGGGAAAGTGATGTGCTTTTAAATGTTCAAAAACAAAAGATCTTTTTGTTGTTGTTGGCATCTGTCTGAAAAGATACCAGTTAGAAAAAGAAGGACTTTCTTTGGCTGCTGCTACCTTTCACTTCTGGAAGTGTAGCCCAATCACAAATATAGTCAGGGTGTTGCTAGCTATGAGTCCTGGTGGATTGACTAGATGCTTGGGGTGCTGAGAAAGAGAGTTGGGACTTGAGTGCCAACTCTCTTATCTCAGAGCTCTGAGTGTCTAGTCTGGTCATCTGGACTTAGCCATGGATGTTACTTTTGGTTTTTCTCTCTTGTTTTCACTTGGGTCTGCTGTGGGATGGCTAGCCACAGTTAGTGTCTGTGGGAGCAGTAGTACCAGCAACATCCTCTTTCTGAAATCAGGATGGAATTGCAAAGGCGCAGGAGTGAAAATTCCAGCCCTGGTGGGTAGTGGGAAAACCCTACCAAAACTGGAAGCTGAATCTGTGTCACACTACACTTTTTGTCTATTGGGTGAATGGCAGACCATAAATGATAACTTAAACTCCCAGAGAAGTCCTACTATTTTAAATGGGATTGTACTGTATTCCAGAGCCAAGGTTCTAGTTGTCTATTTTTCATTGCAAATATAACAAAGAAAAAGAAGAAATGATGTCAGCTCAGGTTAGCAATAAGAACACTCTACTAATCCTAATTTAAACTTGTATATTAATATAGGCAGTTCATAAATCCAAGCAGACACCCAAACACAATCAAGTATAATAGGTTATAATTTCAAATGGAGCAAGGCAGTAAGATCTTCAGCCAGTGACCACTGAGTTATGGATAGTGGGTGTTTATTCTTCTAACCTTGACATATAAGTCTCTCTGCAACCATAAGAGCTTGCAGAATCCACTTCTGTTGTTGATCGTTACATCACAGGAATATAATTTCAAAGAACCAATGTTAATCAGGTTCTTTCCCTTCCATAATGTAACTCTTATTCTCACTCTTCCTTTTAGCCACTAGGAGATCCCCTTCGTCTGCTTTGGTATGTGTAGACAGAATTATCCATCAAGGTAGCAATGCAGATCTTCTGGGGAGTACTTTACAGCTGTCGGTTTCTTTTGATAGCTTGTCCAGTGGATTGCTTTGAAGATTGACCTGAAAGAGCATTAATGAAATCTCACTTGTTTGCAATACTCATGTCTCTTCTGTGCTAGGTCTTTTGTTAATGGCTTCGTTTCTTGTCTGCTGCCTAGGAACAAGTAATTAGCCAGCAAACAAGACACCACGTTCTCTCACACATTTACACTTGCCCCTAAAGGGTTAGGTTGCATACACACATACATATTAAGCACATGCATTCTCCTCCAAAGAACTTCCCGCAGAGCTATAATTCCTGGCACCCTTAACAAACTACAGTTTTCAGGATTATTTGGAGAAAGTCATGTGCTTTAAATGCTTGTGTGTACTCAGCCCTTTCAACAAAACTGAAACAACAAACAAAACTGCACAACAAGGGACCTGTCTGGCTTAGGTTTTCTCTTCTTCCTGTGCTCAGTTCCTCTGTAGAGGGTGGAATGCATAAGGATTGGTGGCTGCCATTGCTTTGCTTGGATGCCCAAGAAGTTGTAGCCCTCCAGACATTGTTGGAGAACAATTCTCATCATTGCTGAGTGACCACAGGCCATGCTGGCTGGTGCTGATGGGAGTTGGGGGTGGCCTGTCAACATCTGCAAGTTCTCCAACCCTGATTTATTCTGCCCCTTAAAACTAAGTGATAGCTATTTAGAACTGAAATTCATGTCTGCATAGTTTACCCTTTCTTTCTTTGCTTGGCCTCACCCTGGGTTCTCTTTCTTGGTCACTTTACAGTACAGCAGGATGCTGGGAGCTGGCCTTTCTATGAATATTTTATTTGAAAATATATATAATCTTGATTATCTGCCTTTCATCCAAAGCTGCTCACACTGACTAAAATCACAAGCATAAAAAAAGGGAAATCAGCATAACCCAATGCCAAATATGTTACTCATTGTAAAACGAGTCCCTCCTTTGAAAACAAGTGTATGTTCATTTCTAAATAATGATTTGCCTTGTTTTATTCCGAGAAATTCCCTGGTTAACTCTGAGCAGCCTCTAGGCAAGCAGTGTTTCTGGAAGCTGGTTCTTACACTTGTAAGATTGTCTTGGCACAGATTTTGGATGATGCAGGACAGGAGCAGATAATGAATATTCAGGGAGGAGAAGGAGAGGGAGAAGAAAAAGAAAAAGAAAGGGGGCAGTAAAGAGACGGTTCTGCTTGTTAAATGGAAGCCCTCAACTGAACTGTGTTTTGTTGTTTTAAAGTAGTTTCGTAGTTTTAAAGAGCAAGTGACTAGCTGAAGACCTGCCTTGTTTAATTGTCCACCTAGGAAACCAAATATATACACATGTATCTGCTCCTTTGATGTGACTAATGAATGAGCTCTTTTAACTTACTCTGACGGCTGATAATTGTGCTCTAGCTCCTGGGCAAAAGTTATCAGTAATGTGGGTATGTGGAGTGGCCGCTGGCATCAAATATTCATAGAGTCACAGATGGGAATCTACAAAGAGTTAGCGCCGAAACAGGAGCATATTCCCAGCCATTCTGCAGTGAGCGTGTCAAAACATCAAGAGTAACGGGTGATTTGTTGCTACAGCTACATAAGACTGGCATGGTTTTGCTTTTCTCAAAGATTAGAAGGAAGTGCCCTCACCAGCTGCCGTATTTCCAGTTGAAGTAGGTCAAGATATGCCATTGGCTTCCAGAGGCAGAAGTGTCGCCTGCACCATGTTGTTCTTCTGACTGCGTTTAGTCCTGGATGATGGGACATTGGGAGCCCAAAGTGTGAGAGCCAGCAGTGGCAGACCAGGTGAGGAAGACCTGCCCTGCAAGAGGACTAATATCTGCTTTGGCAGCCGTTTCTGGGCCAGAGTAAGATCTGCTTTGGCCCAGAGGTTCAGAAACAAAAGAAACCACTGGGATGTCTGAGATCTTGTTGGAAAAATGTGTATACACAGTCTAGCTCCTCCCTAGGTGTCTATTTTGTTGTCTTTTTAAAGGTATTATAAGTGACCCTTAAAGCCTTAAATAAATAAAAAGGTTGGCATGTGGGAGGAAGGGTTGTCAAAAAGATTGTACCTCTCAAATCAGAGGTGCCGTAACACAAATTGATTAATTCATTCATTGACTAAAAGTCATGGAAGCAATTGACTTGCCCTGCAAACCTATGCATGCCGTAAGCCCTATGGTAATGGAACACTCCTGCAGGCCCCATGGCCTCCTCCGGCAACTGGAACAGCTACGCAGCATTCCCAGGAAGGGGTCGTGGTATTCTGGGACTCATAGCTGCCCTCTTGTGAGCACCCAGTCTAGCAGAGTAAAAGCAGTGCAGACAGAGGCGAGGAGGTATCTGGGCATACCTACTTTATTTCTACTAATTACAGACTAAAGAACATAACAAACACGTATGAGAGGAGCAGCCCTCATACAGACACCAGGTCTTGTCGCAAGACAGAGCAGAAAGAAAAAAGTACAATAGTACCAGAGATAGAAGTCACACAGACAGGCTTCCTTTCTCACGGAACAGAAAGTACCGGTAAACAATAGGATCAGATGATCCTTGCAATGGGAGGAGTGAAATACTAACATATGAAACACAGAGAGTCTTATTCTCAAGTAGACATATCTTTGTTAGTCACTTATTGAAAACATTTTAACCTTGCAATTCTGTTGCGTCAGACCAAATGCCCATGGTGGCACACAGTCAACAATGCAATTAAAAGCAGCAGCAGAATTAAAAGAAACTATGCTGCTAGGTTTCTTAAACTGGAAAAGTGATACAGTGGTACCTCGGGTTAAGAACTTAATTCATTCTGGAGGTCCGTTCTTAACCTGAAACTGTTCTTAACCTGAGGTACCGCTTTAGCTAATGGGGCCTCCCGCTGCCGCCGCACCGCCATCATGCG